TAACACTTTACTTTTACTTATCAGTCAATGCTCCCAATCCTTCTTGAGCCATCATAAGAGCTTGTAAACATAAACATCACAAGACATAAAAGTCATCAGACAAATTGTCAATGCTCTTTACTACGTCACTATCCTCAACGACCTCAATCTTTTGTCATCGAACCGATCCCATCTCCCTTCCCAAAGCCCTCGATACATCCTGAATCCATTGCCTAAGCTTTATTTATTTACTTTTCCTTATTGAGAATATACCTGTCTAAACGACGATGGCCTTATAGACCTGCTTGCCTTTTAATCCTTCATATTGATTTGGTTTGTTTTAACATGTGCCCTCCTGACACAAAACCCACTTCAATGACACTTCTCTGTTGATATGTCGAGGAAAGCATTCATTTTACGTACACGAAAAACTTTTAAACCAATTGACTTATTTTGAACTACAAAACAGAAACTATTACAGTAGCCGTAAGTCAACAAAAATACCGATAAAGTTAATTATTTTTGTCTAAACAATACGTCAAACTTATAAAGCTTTGAGATTATTTATGCATTTTTTTTATAATTTACTTTAATTTATTTTTCCTGTTATACGAAAATCAGAAACATAATACAAAAGTACAGTACGGCATGGATTACAATCCGTCCGTCGGGAGTTAATTAAAATTGAAAAACATAAGTAAAACGAAAAATATTTATGTGTTAAGTATGGAGACCATATTCGGCAATTTTCTAAAAAGGAACGTGGATTCAGTTGTCCACGTTTATGAGATAACTATTTATTTGACGTGATTGTAATTAATTGGCGTTATCGATATTGGCCAACGACTGATAACCACTTGTGCTTCGAGAGCCGTCACCTAGTCCGTAATTGCATTTTCCCGGTGTGAAAGCATCGAAGGGGGATTAGTCATTCCGGCTAAATCGAAAAGTCAATGAGTCAATCTTGAATGGAAGGCATGGAATGACGGAATTCATTATTACAGAATTAGCTTTTTTTCAAATGATTTTTAAACAATACGTACAAGATATGTAAACGCTTACGCATGCAATTTATGCAAAAAATTTTGGAACAAAGAATACTCTGGAAGTTGGACGGCTGTCATCGCCTCGAATGAGCCTAAACAAGTAGGAATCAAGAACGAACGACCATCGGCCATGTAAGAAGGTCGTGTATTGAGTGATCAGCTGTTGTTCTAGGAAACATCGTACCGCAGTAGGAAAAATAGTGTCCATTATTTGAAGTCCAAAAACATCCATTATTTGAACGGGGATCTAACCTCTCTCTAAACCCTAACCCTAATCTTAACCTGCCTATAACTCTATCCCTAGCCCTAAGCATAGTCTAAGGGCATCCCATTAATAGTAATCCTAACTGTTTCGAATCATAGCCGTAACCCAGTATGTTAGATCATAAAACATGGTCAATTTTCCCTTGTGTTATTTTCTTCTTGCATTTGTTTCTTTCCCTTTCCTAGTCTATTGTAACGTCTATTATATGTGTATTATAATACCTTTATGTCTGCTATAATATGCCCACTCTCTATTATTTTTGTTAAATATAATGTTTTTTGCTCAAATCATTTTATTTATATTTACTTTCGTGTTCTTCTCCCTTACTTATATTTTTCATATAATTAATAGACTTGTTGCTAAAGTTTGATAAGTTAAACGACTATTACAATTTAAATGCATTTGAATTTGATTTACCATCATACTGAACAAAATGCAGGTGCAGAACGAGCGATCAAATGAAAATCACTCACAATGTAAATTTCGTATTTTCCGTATGCACAACATTATATTCTTAAAATTGACCAAATCTGAAGGTTTAGCGACTCGATGAATGCAGAATTAAATGATCTATAAATTTCATTCTATGTTTGCTTTTTATGAGCCGTTTTGAGAACGCTATGTCTGAAAAGTCATCAAAATGATCAATTTTGCCTTTTTTTTATTTTCCCCCTATCTTTTGTTAATCCCATTTCTAACCTCTCAAAAAAATCGAGATCGGTCTTTATCGTCCCACCTTAGCCTGCTTTTTCGTCACACTTAACGTTAACCCGCTATTATTTTTCGTTTTCATTACTGCACCCTATTATATTTACTTTCATTGTAACCCTTTGGTGTTACTCATTTATTTCCAGCCATATGTATTTCATAGTGTATTTGATATCTCATTAACTTTAGTATCAATCTCCTTTTAAAGTTACACCCCTAAACTTGTAAAGACCTAATCCGCGTTTCACTCTTCTTGTAGTTGTTCTTTGATAGGGAAACCATTAAATAAACCAACCGACATTGAATCATAGATATCTAACCTAACCCTAGTGACTCGCCGTTAAACTAAAACCGTAGCCTAACTCGTCTCTAAACCTAACCCTAACCCAAGCCCGTTCTTAACCTTGTATGTTTTTGATCACAACTTCATCCATTTTCCTTCTTTTAATTTCTTATTTGACCCCTTTCCTAGTCTGTCAAAAAACCTAGACATCAATTTTCTATCGTCCCACCTCAGTTTTATTTTTCCTCTCACCTCACATCAACATCTATTTCTTTGTAGTTTCCTTTACCCTATTTTATTTAGTTTTAGTGCTGCCACTGGTGCCCTCATTTATTGCTTGCCATTTTTATTTTCTACTATATTTTGGTTCTCTTTTAACGCACTATCGTTCCTGACTAACGCCCGATTTTTACCCTTTCTGCCGTCCTTCTTTTAATGGGTAAGCTTATTGGAATACAGACGAGACGGGCCAACGTCGGAGTTAACTAGAATCTACCGAATCTCCTTTTTTTTCGTTTATTTAGATTTTTATTTTGCTCCAAAATGATTGTTTGTCGTCTTCAAACATAATAGGATAATAGGAACTATCGCCTTAAAAAGGTATAATTAGTTGTTATGAGCACTACAGACCCTGAACCTTTCCACTCATCCACTCGACTCCCAACCAACTTCGTGTCCTGTCGCTATTTTGTGTAGCAAGTACGAAGAGCGACCAGTCTAGATGGGTTCGACGTAAAGCCTCAACAATTTTCAACAAATTCTATGAGTTTAATTTTCCTCGGCCTTACATACCGACTAGCATCGTGTCCTCGTCCAACGGAAATATTATTATTATTGAAACCACTCTTCTCACGGACTACCATGTGAATCACATTCCATCGACATTGTTCTACCGGCAGACAATATCAGCCTCCATCGCATACTGATTATAAAGTATAAATATCATGTGTTGTATATAGTTTAGTATCATTATGTACAACCTCTTATTCGTCTTAATAAATCTGGACGAATTTACCTACAATGTAGGTATAATACGTCAATAAATGATTGTATTCTATGGACTCATTCTTTTGTATACACTTCACTGAAGCGATGAAGTACAAAAAAATCATTTTTTTAACTTTTTTATACATAATCTCATCAACTAATTGTAAGTAATGGCCCAAATGCTAGTTGCGTCCTTTTCAGGTGATCGAGAAACGCAGGGAAAGTACGGCCAAAACAGAAAGGATAGGCGGACCAAAATGATCCGATGAGGATGGTGGTACCAACCGAAATAAGTAGTAATGATTCAGAATGTGCCTACGGTGTGTAGAGAATTCTTGAGATAGGTTCATGGAGTACCCCTGAATCTCTCGGTTAAGTACGATTTTAGAATCTGGTAGTGTGTAAGAGGGTGGACTCTCTTAAGCTACCAGTGTCTTGCTCATTATAGGCAATAGACTTATTGGATAATGGAAAGTTATGGGGTGATTTATCCTTTGGTATAATAAATCACAAACAAGTTATATATGTATATATAAATATCTATTTTTTAAATTTTATTTGTCAATGTTGGCTATGGATCCATATCTTTCCTAACATAATAACTTTCTACAAATTATAATTTAACCAACGATTTTTTTTTAACTTATGTGATTTGTCTCAAGTCTTTCGTTCAAATCACAATTATTTTCAGATCTTAGTAGAAATAAATACAAAATAATTTGTGTTTTGGTTTAAGAAAAAGAGCATAATTTATTTCTGTCTAACAAAAACACAAGAGAAATTAAACTTTGACCGTCAACTTATTTATTTAGTCAATTAAGTCACTACTGTGTTGGCATAAAGATACTAAATTATATTTGAACAATACATAAAAATTAACTCGTAAACCTTGAAATATAGGTAAAAGCAAATCGACAGCTCGTTTAGCTAATATTTTTCAGCAAAACAAAGAACAATAATCTGTGATTTTTTGATAGGAAATGATTAATTTGTAAATTTTAAATCGAAGTGAATTTAAATCCAGTTGCAATAAGCAACTCTGAACAACCGTGGGATATGTTTTTGTACGTTTTATGAAATTATGAGATTGTGTTTGGTTTTGATTCGCGAGAAAGAGAGAGAAAGTGATAGATTGAGAGTGAGAGCAGGACGACCTTGAATATCCTTTATTATTTTATATTAGGAAGTGGTTCAATTTTAATAATAACCGACCGTTTACGTACAGAGATGTCCTGTATGATTCATGCTTAGGTATGTGAGAATATTCCCCGGATCCGAGGCGCCATTGACTCCCTTTATCACACGAGTAACGGAACGATCTCTCCCGTCAAATGTCCCCAGGTGATCGAATCAAAGTATGCGTTACATAAAAGCACGGCGATGATCTCAGGTGTCGTGGAAGGGGGAAGGTACGTCCTCGTTCAGTAGGTCAAGAATTGTATGTAAGTGGCAATGTCATACAACAGGTATCAAATCTCAACTAGCGTCTACCTGATTCCTACTTTTTTTAAATCCTCTTATCAGTACAATTTATGCTTTGAAAAATTAAAAAAAAACTGGTTTAACGAAGAACAGCTTTTTCCTTATAATCTATATAAATAATTTATAAAAAATATAGACAAACTAGTAGAAAAGAAAAACGGAAAGCGCCTTGCGTATCGTAGATTCTTTGACAGAAGCTTATATTTACGTGTATGCAATTATTTTTTTTTTTAATATATTTTTAACGTACTAAGTAGGTGACTCCATCGCTGGGCTCTTCAAAGCCGGAATTGTTGGTCGTACAAGTCACGAACAAAACTAGTGACAAAATCCAGGCGAATTGGTAGAACATTTTCGATGAGGACGTCTCAAGAACGTACGAAGAGCTGGCCGCGGCTTCGACAGCGGCGGATAAGTGCGAACTGAGCAGGGCAACACGGTCCCACTGACGGCCCCCACTTGACCACTGTTTACCCCTTCCAATGCCCAAATAAATTTCTTACCTACTTAATTTAATCGGTAGTTTTCTTATTTATTTATATTTTTATTGAATGCCAGTAGCTGTCTCTGCTAATTGTTTAATAAGCCGAGGAGTCATTGTCCGCGCATGTGTGCATGTGTATTTCGACTTGAAATCTTGACTTGAAAATGTGTACGTCGACTGAAATCTGTACAACTCTGTAGTTTTATACAAATAAGTGATTATTAGCTGATGTTTTTTTATAGTCATATCTGATGATGATCTCAATATCATGACTTAATATGGTTGTGCTTCAAAACAATAAGTACCACTATTGGTGGTAACACTAACATCGCAGATATGTTCATATTTATATCCTGTTGAAGGAGATACATTCCTTGAAAGCTCGAAAAATTGATCACACGTTTTATTTAAACTTTTTTTTTGTGAAACTAGGTAGGAAAATATTAGACGTGTCCGAGCCAATGGGCTCTAAGAGCCGAGAAAAACAAATTTAATTTTTATTTCTATCTTCGTTGAGCATGTATTTTAAGGTTATTATATATCAATTGATTTTTATATTTCGTTTTTGGAAAATTTTGTTAAATGAGATTACATATAAAAAATTTACAAAAACCAAAAGACGCTATGGATAAAGTAGACGGGAAAAATATGTTTGAAGAAAACTATTCGGATTTGTTTTAGGCATAGTGTTAAGCACTTAAAGAGGAATACAATAAATAATAAAATAAAATTTTTGATATCGATATGCCGGGGCAATGTTAAAAACGAAGGGACAATATTGAGGAAAATTTATTTTTTAATTTTCAAAAAAATTGTAGTAAGGCGTTTTTAAGTTTGCCAAAATGGAATATCAAATTTATTTCTTGCTAAAAAAAAAACTATTTTAACCTACTTGGCTGAATCGCTAGATCACTACGTAAAAATTGAAATTTCCCCTTGGGTATAGAGAAAAATACGTTAAAATACTGTATATACATTTTTTTAAATGATGATTCATAAATGCATTGATGGAACATGTTGGAAAAAAAAATAATGTCATAAAAAAGATTGTCACAACAATTTTTATTAAAGGTTTTTGAAATTCGTAACTACAATATATTTTATTCAAATTCAACGTCATGACGATGGAAAGTTGGAATTCTCTCCTTTCAGGCTATAACAACAATCTTTAGGTTTAGTGTGAATATGTGGGAAAAATATAGAGTGAAACCAACAAAAACTAGCTTTTTCTACGGTTCTTGCCAATGGGACCAAGGGGACAAAAAAAAGATTTTCTACCTTTGTCACATATGTATATAAACATTTTTTTACGAGGGTTCGCAACAGCAGTGGTCATATAAACCCTCTGGGTGCCGTGTGTTTGAAAAAAAGCCCATTTGTAAATATGTCGGGTTCGAATGCAGGGTCGCTGGATTCGAACCCGGGACCTTCACCTTACAATGATGAGCGCCGTGTCAACGCCTAAACCATTGCGGCCACCCTCACCCCAATAANACTAGGTATATGAAAACTCATACAAACAAAAAAACCGCATAAAAAAAACTTCCTTGTCACTAAGTATTTGATGTTAATTTTTTTTATAAAAAAAATTAAAAAAGCAATTCGGACTCGGTTTCAGCACCATTTAATGTACTTAAATACTAATTTTTATATCAGTAAAAAAAAAACATTTTTGCGATGATAAGCTAAGGGTAAATTTCTCTTTATTCTCTTTTTAAGGGTCTATCTCCAATACTTACTGTTTCACGTAAAATTTCATAGCTTATCTGAATTTTTATCCAAATTGAATATTACGCCAACCGTTAGAAAGCTGGATTATTTTTCTTTTGAAGATTATCATATTATTAGAAGGTAGGCAAAATTTTTGAGAAATTTTTATTTTCAAAAATTTGGATTCGGTTTTTTTAAAATCGTACAAAAGATGAATATTAACGTTGTTTCAGGCCAAAAAAAAACGTTAACTACTTTCGCTAAGTCACCAGGTCACCACGTCAAAATTGTATTTGGCAGTTAGCTTTAGCATGGTTATGTGCAAAGTAGGCTTTTTTTTCTTATTATTCCTAAATGCATCTGTTGTTATTAAAAGATGCCACAAACAGGAAACGGGCCGATAAAAAATAAACAATACAATTAGTCATAATTTATAAGGAACCGTGCAATTATTGACAATTGTACCAACTTGTCGAACAGTCACACCGTTCTAAATTTTACTGAGATATAATTGTCTTTGTTCCTGGTCCCAACAATAGAAATAATACAGGAAAAAATAATGGTAACACAATTGAAAATTAATATAGACAAATAATTCTTTATTTTAAAGGAGATAGTGAAACGATAACATTGTTTTCCTTACTTATATTGATTCAAAAGCAATTGCTTGAAAATACTAATATTTCATGTAAAAGTTGGCAAAACTTTTTTTTTACAAAATTTTATAATCTGTCAGAGTTATAATTTCAATCTTTACCTTTTTGCAATTTTTTGGCCCTTTTATATTCAAGTAGTTTTTCTTCCCACGTGTTTCTTCTTATCAGTTGATTGAGTATTTTTTTGTTTCAATGATTTGGAGGATAGTTTAATTTAAAACGTAAACGGTTTAGTTTGACATTAAAAAATGTTAATTGGAAGATAAACAAAAATGTAAACTTGGCGGAAAAAGGCCATATAAAAAAATCGTATTTATTTGCAGTCGCTGTACCTTATATATATAATCTCTCTCTCTCTCTCTCTCTCTCTCTCTCTCTCTCTCTCTCTCTCTCTCTCTCTCTCTCTNCTCTCTCTCTCTCTCTCTTTCTAGGAAGACGAAGAATCTGGTAGGGACATTTCGCTTTTTTCCATAAGTTAACCCTTTTTATATTAAAATTAAACCTTTTTAATTTAAAATTAGCTTTTTTACCTTAACATCCACGCTTTTTAAACAAAAATTGACATTTTCGGCTTGGTTAGCCCGAGGAATTTTTTCTTCTCCGGTGTCCTGTTGTTCCACTTAATCATTCTTAACCACTTTGAAGTTTTTTCAAGTCCGATATTAAGACCATTATTGGAAAGCTAGAATGTTCTATATTCAGCTTATGTAAACTGAGTAATGTAAAATGTTTAGATTTCATGTCATTATCTGTGAAAAAGTAAGAATTAAATCTAGAAAAACACTTCAAACTTTTTATATCTTCAATTTTAAATTATTTACGAGGGGACGTTTATACTATTATATTATTATTGCTGTTACTATTATTTTACGTTTATAAAACTAAATTTATTTCTAATATATTTACATGTAAGGGGACTTAAAGCCCTATTTGTACTTTTAAAATAAATAAATAATAATAAAGTCCCTGTGTATAGGTAGAGTTGTTTTAAAGTTGCAGGTTGATTTTCGAAATGGGAAAGGCGAACGTTTTTTGGAAAAAAAAATATCTGTTTATTATCCCAAAAATTTGTATTTCTTTCATTTTTCGGGTGCAAAAAAACGTGCATCAACTTTTTTCTTACTAAAAAAAATTTTAGCCAATTTTTGTCTCGTTACGTTGGATTAGCTTGGGACCAATTCTTTTTCCCGATGCCTCTTGTAACATTTAAAAATACATAACTACTGTACCTTTCATCCAAATTCAATGTTTTATGTTAGAAGTGAGAAAAATATGGAAGAAATCATGAAAAACACCTCGAACGTTTTATTTTGTATCATTGATTTATTTATTTATTTTTAACAGAAACCACGTTTATTCCATTATCTGTAATTTATTACTTTTTATGCTCCTGTAAAGTTACTTGTGGATCTGTACAGTTGTTTTAAAGTTCGGTGTTTTTGTGATTTTAGAAAAAAAAATCGTAGCAATTTGTAAGACAATAGGTTTTAGGATAAATTTTTGTTTGTGTTCAACCTTTCTTGAGGGTGCAAAAAACGAACATGATCTTTGTTTCTTGCTAAAAAAATATTTTCTATTTTCGCCAATTTTAATATTTTCCTAGGTTGGACCTTTTCTTAACCCCCCCCCCCCAGTGGATGTACTTCCAAATATTAGCGATAGCACGTGGTGAAATTTTTCAACCAGAAAATACTAGCTTTTTGATAATAAAATTCAAAAATTAGATTCAGAAAAAATCGTTATATTTTCGAGTAATTATGTTACAAGAAGAATTTTTTAAATTTTGTTTTGAGAAGTTTTGTCTACATATTTTTCCAGACGCTTTGAAAAAGGAACTAAACATTCCGACAAAGTCTTGTATGCAAAGAATAAAACGGTACCAAAACATTTTGTGTTTTTCTGGCTGAATTCTATACCATCGTGAATATTTGAAAGTACAGACATCCACTCACTGGGTGTAAAGTAAAGGTTGCAGCGTCAGTCGACCGGGTCGTGCGTGAAGCTCTTGCGCGTCAAGAAGACTGTGGCTCCGAGAGGGTCATCGTAACCCGACTCAGAAATGGCCATATGCGGCTGACAACAGACACTTACTTTTGGGCTTAAGTCCGCGTATGTGCCCGGCATGCAGAGAACGTTGCTCAACGAGCCCCAGGCGTGCAGGAATGCCAGCCGAGTACTACTTCGATTATTGAAGAAATATGTAAAATTGAAATAGTCTGATGATTAAAAGAATCTGTAATACCATTTACGATATTGAGAAACTGTTTTTACTGAGACAGACTAGGTACGGGCACAACACTTAAACAACCACAAAATCACAAAAATAAAAACGCAACACAAACCGCATTTATGAATAATAAAAAAAGTTCACTAATTTCGTGGTCCGCTTGACCGTGGGGTTGAGATAGGAAGTTGATGTCCGATGGATCGAGATCACGATAGCTCAAGTGGTAGAGCAGCGGCGTATCTAGCCGAAGATCGTGGGTTCGAATCCCGCTTGTGCCATTAACTTTTTTTTATCTCAACTAAAAACCTTAATTAATTGTAAAATAAAAAAGTATTTTATCGTACTTTGTCCCACGCACATGGCCGAAAATAATTTTTTCATAGCGACCTAGCGACTTTGGTTTTTTGCACTCTCAAACACCCCTGAATGCAAATTTTTTGGAAAATTAACAAATCCTCGTAATTTTCGCCTTGGAAAGCCTGCGATTGTTTTTTTCGAAAATCACAAAAACAGCAATAACTTTAAAACAATTTTACCGATCCACAGGAAACTTTTTAGGAGTTTAGAAGCAGAAAAATTAATGGAAGTTAGTAATGGAAGAAACCCGGTTTCTGCAACAAAATTAAAATAGGAGATGTACAATAAAACGTTTGAGATGTTTTTCTTGATTTCAACCTAAAGTTACATCCACAAAGAAGAACGTTGAATTTGTATAAAATATAGAGTAGTTATATATTTTTAAGTGTAACAAGAGGCATTAGAGAAAAACAGAATAAAAAAAGTTTGTGTAAAACCCAAAGGTTGTTGATCAACTCGGAAAAAAGAACAATCCAACTTTCCAGCGGTTGCCATAACGTTGAATTTGGATAAAATGTAGAGTAGTTATATATTCTTAAGTGTAAGAAGAAGCATTAGAGAATAAAGGAATGAAAAAAATTGTCATAAAACCCAAAGATTGTTGATAGACTTTCACAGAAGAATAATCCAGCATACAAAACGGTTGTCATAACGTTCAGTTTGTATATAATCAAGAGTGAGCATGAATTTTTATGTAGAACAACAGCCATTGGAGAGAAAAATTACCCCAAGGCTATCCAACCTGGGAAAATAGGATAAAATATTTGTTTAGCAAGAACGAAAGTTGATATTAATCCATTATATTTCTCGGTCCGATTAACCAAATAACTTCTTTATTCTAATTTCTCTCTAATATTCTCTATTCTAATCTTTATGCAAGGTATTGGTGGAAATTAATGTTTCGCACCCTCAAAAGCGGCTGAATATCAATTTTTGGTAAACATTTTCAAAATAATATTTTTCTTTAAAATGTTTCAACTTCTAAGCCTGATATTTGGTTTTGTAATATATAATTAATATAATTANTTAACTTTTTTCATCTCAACTAAAAACCTTAATTAATTGTAAAATAGAATAAAATATTTTTTTGTATTTATTTATTTTTTTTTTTAAAGCAAGAAACTGTAATACCCATCATTCCAATTATCATTAAATATTTTAATTTAAAACCTTTCCCATTGTTCCGTCATCCCATGATAAGTGCATTTCCCTTCACCCCCACCATGCTAAATCCACTCCTAGACCTCAGGATACATAATAGGAAAAATTGTAACAAGCAAAGAGTCTGTTTCCCGTTAGCCCTGCACTCTTATACTTATTAACTTTTTAATACAGAAGTTAAATTTCCTCTGTAATGTTTATCCCTTTTTTTCCTTTTGAACGAGGGTATTTCAACTAAAGGTTATACCCTCGTGGTGCTGGTGTTTTTGAAGAAAAAAAGTCCATTTGTAAGCATGTCGAGTTCGAACCCGGGACCTACAGCGATGAGCGCCGGCCGTGTCACGCCTACAACCCGCCCGGCCGACGACGCCCCTAGAGAAACAAATTTGAGATTTGTTTGTTTGCACCCGTAAAATCCCCAATACAGAAACTTTTGGAAAAACCAAAAAATAATATTCTAGTTTATTGTCATACAGATTTTATTAAGAGATGAGGAACGTAAAGGCTCACAGTCCTATTAAATACAGATAACTCACAAGTTTGGTCAGTATTGTCTGTAATAAATGTCTTCGAAACCCAATTTTCTTATGAAATCAGAGATGAAGTTGTGTATTTCCCTCCTTTTAATTAGAAATAATTTTACGTCACTTTCCCTGTCTCTCAGAGAATATTAATGAAAATGTAGCAGGGACAATAATTCAATGCATAACTGAAAAATAAGCTTTACTCTAGGACGTAAAGTCCCCTCGAATAATTAATCATATGGGGGGCGTCAGTGGCCGCAACGGTTAAAGGTCTTTGCCCACTAGAACGTATCATACTAGGACCGTAACCGTACCGACACATGCAAATAAATATTCTTTACATCATTTAGTATTAGAAAATGCCCACTACACCGTTCCGTCAGCGGCCGTGCACGTTCAGTCAAAAATCGGTTGCGCATCCGGCCTACTGTGTTGCTGTCCCGTTCCACACAAGTTCTTTGCATTCGACGAAGAGATCTGTGTTTGTGTTCTATTGTATTGTGAGTGTTTGTGTCTTAATAAAAATGGAGGATGAACAACTAATAGAATATGTTCGTAATTACGAGTTTTTATACAATTTACAACATCTAGTGTTTTTTTCCCTCTTCCTCGTCCAAAATAATGGCAATCATGGCCAATTCTCGTATAGATAATTTTCTAATAGCCATGCTTTATTTAACAAATTCACTCCACACAAGAAAACAAATGTTCACAAACGACGCGATTTTAAAAAAGAAATGTACGACAGCGACTGAAGCAGGACGGCTACTAATCGTTTTTACATACGCGTTACAAACGGGTATAGAACGCGGTTCATCCGTTGCAGTGGGCATAGTAGTGACCGGACCGTTTTTTTTTTTGTTTTTTTTGTGCCTGACACGGTCCTAGTGTAAGGTAAAGATGTATGATGTGTAATGTAAGGTAAAGATCCCGTGTTCGAATCCAGCGGTCCTGCATTAGACATACTTACAAATGGGCTTTTTTCAACAACACCGGCACCCTGAGGGTTTATATGGCCTCCGCTGTTGCGAATTCATGTCTGATACGGATATACAAAGATGCCCATTTACAAAAATATATTCATATAAAGTAAAACTACTCTACTATGTACAATAAAGGAAAAAGGGAGAATTAAAAATCTTCGGTGCCAAGTTGTCAAAGACAAGAAGTAATCAAAAAGACACTTAAAGATGGAATGGCGGATAACTTTAAGTTTGAGGGATGTAGAGGTCATCTGAAGGCAAGATAATTTATGTTGAGAGGAATGGGAAAATATCGTCTGATAGAGGAATATGCCAAGGAAGTATTGTGGTAAGAATGGTTTTTCAAATATAGTTTTATCCTCAAGCTCCCTAAAAAGTCCTCCGTACACAGCAATGTAAGAGAGGGTGTCAAAGCAGCTTCGGGAAATCTGGGATATATGGAACTTCCAGGACAAGCCTCTTCAAGAATATCAAGGTTCTAGACGATGGAACAGAAAGAAAGGTGATTGTTTATTATAAACAGAAAGATAGAAGGTAAGGAATGAAAGATCTTCCTGTGTTATTACACCCTTACAAATATAATGTATTTTTATTTCAACTATTATTAGTGGTGGTAAAGGATAATAGTATTGAGTACCACACTATAACCCATAAAACTAATTTTTCTTCAACATTTTTTTAAGCTCTCCATGTAATATTTTCCCAACTGCACTCTTAGGAAGAGAAGGAAGAAAATGCACACCACCTCTCAATTTCTTTGAATCGCTCACATTTTCTGAAAATGAGAAAGTCACGTTTTAGAATTATGTGTCCATTAATTTAAAGCACAAAGCCTAAAAGAATAAATTAGGAATAATCGGCCGCGAGCCACATAGCAATGGACTGGTTATCTCTTCAAATTAGTTTCTCCTCATCTCCTGATCATGGACCTCATCGGATGAAGAAAAAAAGCTTTTTTTTAAACTAACCTAATCAATTTGGATTTTGGCATCTGTTCTCCTCCTACCTGTCTCCAGTACTTACACCTCAACTCAGCATGACTCCCCACTTCAAGAATTTTTACACCAAGAACTCCACTTTATCACCTCTATTTATCTTAAACTTTTACCCCTTCGTAAAATACGAATTATAAGATTAAAAAGCTCCTGAATTTGACCTCATTAATCCTTCCAAACTTCGTAAACTGAAATCCATAGTTTTCCCAATTAATACTCCAACTACTCTCCGTACATTTCACGATGACATGGACTTTTTCACGGTTCTCCCATATATCCCAACAATGCACACCACCGCCCCAGAACTCATGGAAAAGCACGTCCGGAAGCAAGTCTGTAAGCAAAACCCCAATCCATGAAGCGTTTAGGACCAATCACCGTCTATGAATTTGGTTGTGACTGTTACTATACCATGTCATCGTGTTGTGGACATAATCGCCTGGTCGGGGGTATTCTTCAATGTCGAACAGGCTGATTAGCATTTTGGCTTGCATCCTATGTTCTGCACACTTCCTAACCCATCTACGGTATCCTTTACATTCTTCTTTGTACAAGGCAAAACCGGTCGCTCAGATAACGTCCTCGGTCGGTTAATTTACTCAGTATATACTTCTGATATCCCTTCCCGTTCCGATACTACTATCCTAACATGCTCAAAAGACTCTGCCATCCTATCGACGTAACTCCTTCTAACGTCAAATACGAATTTAAAAATCTACAAAAATCTTCTGGATTAGCCTCATTATGCGATCAATCCTTCTTCAATTTCCAACAAAAGCCATAATTTTCCTAACCTCTCACTTCCCAACGCCTTAACCGTAAATCCAATCAATTTAGATTTAGGCGTCACTATTTTACGGTGGCATTGTGTTGTGGACATCATAGCATCCTCCCTTAACAGAAGGAATCCTAATCGAGGGTCTTCCTCGAAGTCTGGCGGACAGCTCTCATCTTGAGAATCAAAACGTCCGATAAGGCCAAATAGGCCAGGTGCGGACGCTAAGATCCTCTTGTCTTGTTGACGAAGAGTTCTCGAGAACCTCATGACCGAACCTCCAAAAAATGGCAAATCAAACTCAACTCCACAAAATCTCAAAATATAAACTTCAACCTCCGTCTCAAAACATCCGATCTGTTATAACCTAACCCTCCCTTCCTACCGGAAACGTCATCCGCTACCTTGGGCTGTAGCAGACAAGCAACTAACCTACCTCATACACGACTCAAAAGAACATGACTGAACCGACGTTACTCATTACCTAAAAATTCTCTAGATTATCTAAACTTTTCTTCGACAACGAACTACTCATAAGCTAGTATACCGCATAGAACTGTCGAGTTCGACCAAACCGTCCAAACTCCGCAGAACCTTGACAATACAATCCCGAATCCTTAGATCCATGATCACCAATTAATCAATCCATGTTCTATATTATATATACAAGCGCACCGTTCATAACTTTCTAAATGTTCCCTTCATAAAAGATATCGTATGATCCTGCTATATAAAATTATACATTGTATTTCAATCCTTCTTTTTTTAAATTTATTTGTATTGTACCTATTCATGATCATATACGTACACATGATTAATGTATTGCACACCAAAAACTAGCACTGCACCGGTAGAACACATGATTTGAGGAGCCAGCTCACTCAGCCATTGCTGGCACTCAATGGGTACCATTAGGTGTCAAGGAGGTCCCGAGGCCACCAGGCTGAGGGGGACGTGGCGGGTTGTCAGGATGGGAATGAGTGGAGAAGGGTTGATCAGTATGGTTCGATAGGTTGGTGTAGAATGTTTGGAATCTGGACCGGATTAGTTCGTTGACAAAAGGAATGTTGAGGTCTTTCTGGGTAGTGAGGTTAGTGACATAATAAGGTGTTTTGACAATTTGTCTAAGGACTGTCGATTGGAAGGGCTGGATTCGCTGGATATTGGATAGCTTGGAAGTTCCCCATAGTTCCACTCCGTATGTCCATATTGGTCCTAGTAAAGTCTTGTATGTTAGCTTTGTCTTAGGTGTCAAAGTCGATTTCGGCCTTAGAAGTCTTCGCAGTAGTTCAAGTCTTGTATTAAGTCGTTGTTTTTTAAGCCTTGTGTGGATTCCACGTCAGTCTGCTGTCTAGATATATTCCCAGGTATTTGACTTGAGTAGAAACTGGTATATCTTTGTTGTTGAGGTACATTGGAGGGCAAGATTGCTTTTTCAGCGTAAAAATACACTGAGTGCATTTTTCTTCGTCATTCTTGTCATCCATTTTTTACACCAGTCTTCGATAATCTCAAGATGTTCCTGGATGTTGGAAGTAGCTTGGACAGGATTCTAGTTAGAGGATAGGATTGCGGTGTCGTCCGCGTAGGTGGTGATTATAGTGTCAGGATGTATTGGTAGGTCAGCAGTATAAATGATGTAAAGGATAGGACCAAAGATACTTCCTTGCGGTACGCCAGCCCATAGAGCCCATAGATAGAGAACTCATTGCCGCACCTCACTCTGAAACAGCGATCAGTTAGGTAGGATTTCAATAAAAGGTAATAAAGAGAGGGTAAGAAGGACTTAAGTTTAAAAAGCATGCCTGGCATCCAGGCCATGTCGAAAGCCTGTGCTACTTTTAAGTACGCGCCCAGGCAATACTCCTTTTTTTCTAGAGCCAATGAGATGGTGTCAACTACTCTAAAACATTGTTGGATAGTGGAATATTTAGGACGGTAACCGAATTGGTGAGAGGGAATAATTTTATAAGTGCCAAGGACTGGTATCAAGAGTTTAAAAAGGAGTCGTTCTAGGATTTTGGACATTGCGGGAAGCAGGCTAATAGGTCTGTTGGCTGATGAGGTCAGGTTGGGGGATTTGTGAGGTTTAAGGATGAGAATAATGACGGAATAATTACATCAATCCTATTCTAATCCCGATCTATTTCTAATAATCCTCGAGGTCTAAATAGGCAGTCGCCCCCTGTCACTGGACAACTTCTCTTCTTTATTTAATGATTTAATGTCATGTACTGACTTACGATGATCTAAGTAAATTATTGCTTTAGGAGCAGCTTTATGGATGAGCCTTTCATCTTTTTTTTAAATGTCTGAATCGCTTCTGAATATATGTCATAATTAATTGACATTTTTAGTCTAATATCGATTCCAGCATCCAGAAAGTAAAGTAAACGTTTTCTAACTAGAAACTATTATTTTGTTCTAGTATTACCTTCAACTATAGCACATAATTCATTTTCAGTCAATGGTGAATTTGATCGTTTTACTACAAAAGCAGTCGGCCAATCTCCATCGATATCATGTGGTTTACCGACAATACTGGCTTCAATAACATCAGGATGTCTATACAGTATTGCTTCAAGTTCAAAGGGTGATATCTAAAAAGAAAAAGCTTTACTGTGGCTGTTTTTGTTTTAGTTAAAATATGATTTACCTGTACTCCTCTGTATTTCATTATTTCTTTTATCCTTGATGTGAAGTACAAATACCCTTTTTCGTCATAGTAACCGGCATCTCCCATGTGCCACCAACCTTCTGAATCTAAATCAGTGGTTTCAAGATTTTTGTTCATATATCCGGCCATAAAATAATCCGATTTAACACAGATCTCTCCTTCTTCCCTTGGGCCCTGCTCCTTTCCGGATTCGAGGTCTGTTATTTTGACAGTCATCCCAGGGATGACCTGCCCTACAGAACCATATTCTGGACAATCGACAGGAACTTGGTTTTCAAAGCAAGAGACAAATCCGGCTTCACTTGATCCATAAGCGGAATGTAAAACGTTATTATCGTTGAAAACGCATTTACGAATCAGATGTTTATGCGCGAGTGATATATATGATCCACTTAAAAGGACGTATTTCATGGAGGTCGTATCATATTCGTGAAGATTCGGTAAAGAACACATTTCAATAAGGACAGATGGACCAGTAAACCAACATTCAGGCTGTAAAAAAAAATATATATATATATTAAAAAAATGTTTAAATTATATCAGGACCAGGAAAGAATATGCGTATTATTTGCGATTCTTTTTTTATATTTCTGAGGTCCTTTTGACAAAAAAAGGTGTAACATTCTTTGATTAAAAGAGCTTAAGTGAGGAGGTCCTGTAAAATTTAAATTCAAGATAGACTACTGACGAGAGGACTCTCTAAGTCGAAGAACTTGCGACGGCTCAAATAGCGCGAACAACAGGCTTGCTGTACTGCAATAAACTTCCCAAATTCAGACCATGCCGTCAGAACGTCAGTCCTCCAGGGTTGAGAGTAACGGGGTAAAATATTAAACCACGGATTGGAGTTGGGCAAATGGCAACTGCTACTTACACACCGTCCTTGCGGTAACAAACAATTGGTTCAAATGGGTTCATTGAAGTCAAATAAATTGTCGGAACCTTCGTAGCAAAAGTGATCCAAGGCAATAAAATACAAATCAGGGGTCGAGCGTCTACCCAAGTATAGGGAGCTGAAAACGCCTAGCGTCGTTCCAAAGTAATAAATAATGAAAAAAGGGCCTAACATCATAGCTTTCCCAAACATGGCTCGAAAACAGCCTAATTTGCACTAGATATACTACCAACAGCTCGTACGGATTGCTCACTCGACAACTGACTTGGCTAACATCTGCCTGAGGCCCTAAAAACCGTACTCCGTCCCCAACACTAGCGTTCATAAGCAAGGAGCATGCTTGCTCTATATTTAAGGTCAACCAGGATAAAATACTCGTCGAGTCATCTCATTCTCTAATGGAGAAAGCAGCTATCAGAAGCTACAAACAAGGGTCCTGTGATGTCTCCCAACAGTATGATTAGTGGTTATTAACCAAGGAGTTTTAAGTCCTCTATCATTTTCCATCTACACGACCTTCTATGCCACCAATCCTAGTGTGCTGACTGCCTGTTACTTAAATTTCCACCAGGAGCTGGCAGGCACCACTACTTCGACAATGCTTCCTCTTCCTAACAACAGCCAACAAGCATGCAGCACCCCTACTTATTATTAAATAGAGGCTCATCCAGCTTAAATTAAACTCATGATTTCTAAAGGAAAAAGCAGTCATCAGAAGCCACAATACATCAGGATTCTGTAATGACTGTCTGTGGCTTACTTCAGTTTCCACTAGACACACTACTGGTAGTTACCATTATTTCGACAAGGCTTCCATGCAGTCCTAGGCCTCCACGTCAACTCTGCCTATCTCTGCCCTATTATCTATCGAAAAGGTTGATACGTTGTGTGTCATATCCATAAGAATAATAACAGCGTGTGTACATATTTTCCATTGTCACTACTTACTATGGAAAGACACTGACCTTTAGGTTTGTAATGCATTTCATTAGTCCTCTCGCGTTACAATCGGCTGGTAAAATTACTGTCATCCCATTAAGCAAAGCTTTCTTTATTGTAAAAGGGTTGGAGATCCAGAACATAGGCGATGTCAGAAGAACTCGCGAAAATTTATTCCAAGTGTGACTGTATAATGAAACAAAATATCTAGGTCACTTTTGGGAAAATGAAAAAATCAGGTTATTGTATCAATATTTATCATTTACTTACAATAGTAACGTACGTTTATACATATTTTCGTCGCTCATTTTGACTGCTTTTGGTACCCCAGTGGTACCACTTGTGAATACAGCTAATACGAAGTGTTTTGCTGGGTCATCAATCTCTACACTTACATTTGATATATCTTCGTTCAAGAGATCGTCATATGATAAATACTGAGACACTTTGTGTTTCGTTATTATCGTTATATTCCATCCAATATTTTGTATGGATTCTTCAACGACCTTTAGGTATTGGTTGCCACAAAAAATTATAGCTGGTCGGCTTGTCATAATGCACGTTCTCACTTCAGCTAAACAAATGTTTTTATTATATTTAAAATTAGTTAAAATAATCTGATGAAGCACAATCCAATGGTTCTTGAGGGTGGGACGTAAAAACCATTTTTAATAGTAAACAGAGGGATGAGAGAAGGGGCTGGATCCAAACACAATATCCTGAGACTTTTGTACTTTCAAGTTAAGCCCATTGCCCACTGCCCAGGATCTTATGAAGTTTAAGTTGTATTGAACTCTTACATACTGAAAGTCAGGAGGTGAGAAGGAAAGGCAGATTTGGGCGTCATCTGCATAAAGGTGTTCGTAACAATGTTTTATTTATTTTTTTATTTAGGGAAGTCATGAACAAAAAAGATTATTGTAGTTGCTTGAGCCTTGAAGTACTCCAGATACGATAGATTGTGGACAGGATAGGGGCTCATTTGAGAAAGCCAGGTGGTGGGAAGGAAAGGTAGATTTGGAACGGAGTTGCTTGAACCGTGAGAGACTCCCGATAAGATGGACTGTGGAGAAACTGCTGAGAACGGTCTAAAAGTAAAGTCTTGACCCAGCAGAGGATAGTGTGAGATAAAGGTAATGTTTTACGTTTAGCAAAGAGAAGAGAACCTACTTTTTTATAGGCTCAAGGAAATATGCAGAAAGATGGTGACTTCACATGGGTCAGTTGGTCGGTATGTCGTTGCCAGAAGACATTTGTAAATGACTAATTTTCCAAGAGGTTTAGTAAGGTTTGAGATGATGGATTAGGAGTTTTATTTGGTTAACAATAGCTTCCATGTTTTAAGAAATAAGAAAATTCTGTAATTAACAATTTTAGATATGTAGGAGGAAAGTATTCACCCTACCGTACTTCCAAGTCGGACGAGGAGAAGACCGGTTTACTACCACTGACTTCATTGCTCCACTGACTTTACTCCGCATGCCAACATCAACTTATAATAAGTTAATTATATTCTACAAATCGAAAAACCACATATTATCAAATTTGATATGAATTATTAGTCTGTGGCCAATTTCCTCCCAATCCTAAATGCCCAAAGGTTACCCCGGCTATCAATTTGGTTTCCGCAACTGTCCAACCATGTTACCGGGGTTTGGACTTTACAGCCTCTTTTGAGTTGAGACAGTATTGCTCAGGGGTCTATCTTGATGTGGAGCAATTATTTAGCACCTGGGCTTGATGTTTGCTCATGAGCATCACTCCGTTTACTTACTACCTAATCCTTCTTCAGCTACCTTGCTGACAGGTACTACTAATTGAAATGTCGGCGTCTTCCCCAAAATGCCTAATCTATGATCTATGGAAGCAGTAAGAATAATAAATAAGAAGACATGCTTTAATTACCTTCTCAGGTATTCCAGCACAACCAATTAGTTCGGTTTAACGGTTTAACAGGTACTAAAGCAAATTTTAGAAAAATAAGCTATTAGGTTCAAGTGGAGGTCGACTAATAGTGAACCGGAAGGTACTAAGGCTAAAACTGTGGACGAATTCATCAGGTGACACTAGTAAAACGGATGATGGGATGACCTAGAAAATGAGAGACCTCGAGTCAGGAGAAAAGGACTCGAAACTTGGATCTCTATTCGTGGTATCCTCGAACACAAGGAGGCATATGAATAGGTAGGGGAGACATACACATCACACAAATAGGTCTAAAGCTGATGAATAGAAAACCTATAACATTGATCAAAAAGGGAACCCTGGAATGTTTTCTTATGTCATTTGGTACCAGAAATAATATTCACCTGGATTCAGGAAGTGGTTGATAGGGTTAGAAATTCCTCCGGCAATCCAAATTCCAAATTGAAACGACACAGATTCCCCGCTGTTATCTATGAGAGATGACACGACACTATTTCGTCCAATCCCCATCTTTTGGAGTCTCACTGCAATGCTAGTGCTCATTTGCAAAACGCTTAAGTACGTGTAGTGCTCGCCCGTAGATTCGTCGATCTGTAAATCAAGTAAAGTTTTGACATACTATAAAGGAAAAGAAAGCAGGAGTAAATCAAATAAAATTATATAGTATGTAGATGACTCCCCACAGAACCAGGTAAAGTGACTGATTTTTGGGCGGCCCGGAAAAAGGCGGGTGTGAGAGCTGTTGTCTGGTATAGCGAAATGTTGTTTCGGATGTCAGTAGAGAGCAGCAGGCTGATTGCTGTCCAGAGTACCCTTGCTGCTTGTAGCTAGTGCTTGAGTAGCACCATTAGTGAGTTGTGAGACCTCTTCGACGAGTCTGCATTATCCACGTTGAGTCCTTGCTTTCATTTTCTTCTGCAAGCCTTAGATGCGAATCCCATAGCTCTCTCCAACGGTTGAGCTTTCCCAAGCCAGGCAATCGAGGAGTGGCGTGCTCTTTACAGTGTGTCCCCCCAGTCACTAAAAATGTTCTCAGAAACATCATCATGTCGGGCAGTCATCACTTAAGGAATGTGGCCTTGGGTAAGAAAGGCCGGTGTTGAAAGGAGCTATGTGTTGTGAGGGGGCACTTACTACCTATGGGGTAAATAAGCCGGAGTGCTGGGCGAGAAGCGCCCTTCTTCAGTTAAAAGGGGAAGAAAAGGTTAAAAAGGACTATGTCCTAAAGATCAAGACAAGACCCTCCTTTTTTTTATATATACAAGAGTTTATTAATAAAGAATCTTTTACAACGCTTATGTACACCTGTCCCTTACCAACACCATTCGTTCATAAAATTTCCCAACACTAACCAAAAGAAATAATAAGGTTTTGCTTGAGCTTACTGGCTCCTTATAAATTATCGTTTTTCCAATTTACTGGGAGACCCGATCTGTTCGCCGTATCGCATACACCTGGCTCTTATCGTCCCTTTTCCTACGTCCCCTACCACGACGTCACTGTGGGGGGGACCCAATCCTGTATGTGTCGCTGCTGATGTGACAGTGTTGAGAACTCCTAACGACTACTTAAGCAGGCTGAGTTCTTGTTTTTCGTAAAGTGGTGCTTCAGGCTCATTTGCTGCTAAACCACAGGCAACCACCAGACAAGGAAAAAGCCGGGCAAGCTCAAAATATGAATCAAACTCTCTAGGGACAGACAACACGGCCTGTCAAGCTTCCATGGGAAATCTTAAAAGAAGTGACAAAGCAAAAGTATAAAAGTACGTAAAAAGGTCACATTCAAAACCTAGGAAGAATTTAACCAGAAAATAACTCGGGTACATGGGCACATAGGATTTTTTTGGTAATAAACAAGCAGACTGGACAGAAGAGGTCTGCAAGGCCTAGAACCTGTAGCTTAATGTTATCATAGCAGTAAAATTAACTGTGCAAATTAAACCGGTAAAGAGACCGAGTCCTCTTAAGCTTAACCTTGATTATTTAGTGCGAGAAACACATATTTTCATCATCCTACCCTCCAGAAAAGGAAGGAAGTTAGAATGCCTTGATTTAAACTCAAAGTTCGATAATAAGTCCGAATAGATTTTTACAATATCATGGTGTATAATCAACCTTTGGTAACTGAATAAGTTTGAATCGTCTGTCGAGTGATGGTAATAGTTTTAAGAAGAAATTTAGCCTTTTATGAAAACAGGAACAATGTGCAGGGGTAAATCATCTAACCTCTATTAATTGTCATGTCAGCATTAGATCACTTATTATTACTTTGCACATAACCATGCTAACGCCGGGAACACACTTACCCGATGCTACGCCATGCGACGCTACCCGACGCCTTGCCACGTTTTGGTAGGATGTGAACATCTATGCGGCGTCAAACGCACGCCACGTAGTCACACAGCGTGTATCACAAATCAGTATCGCAATCGCAACGCCTCTTTTGTTCTTAATGCATTATTTTGAGCAAAACCATGTAATAAATTGTTAGTTAACTTTTATCAGCACAACCATGTAATAAATTGTTCAATTTAATTGTATTAAATAAAGTTATTCCGGTGTTTTGATCAATTTTCTGCCTAACCATCATAATTAAATAATTTTTATAAAAACTCATGAATTTTTGATCTCGTTTAAAGTTGGTTTATAATAAAATAAGAATGTTATAATTAATATGACGACAAAATTACGTATACTTAGTTTGAAATAAACTACAAAAAATATGAGTGTCTTGGTCTGAAGAATCTCGACGAAAATGGTGTAATTTTATGATCAAAGCCATGAAATAAATTGTTAGTTAAATTTTATGAGCACACCAAGTACTAAATTGTTAGTTAAATTTAATTGTTTTCAATGAAGTTATTCCGGTGTTTTGATCAATTTTCTGCCTAACCATCATAATAAATAATTTTTATAAAAACTCATACATTTTTGATCTCATTTAATTTGGTTTATATTAAAATAAGAATGGTGTAATTAATATAATGACAAAATTATATATAAATAGTTTAAAATAAGCTACAAAAAATATGAGTGTCCTATTCTGACGCTACTCGATGAAAATGGTGTAATTGTATGAGAAAAACCGTGTAATAAATTGTTAGTTAAATTCATTATATCAAAAAATGGTATTCCGGTGTTTATGGTTTTTCCAAACCATTATAATTAATTTTTTTTAAATAAAAACTAATGAATTTTTGCTCTCGGTTAATTTGGTTTATATTAAAATAAGTATGTTGTAATTAATACAACGACAATAATACATGTAGTTTGAATAAAAATATGAGTGTCCGGTTCTTTTGTCTTCGACTGTACTCGATGCGACCCGACGAAAATCTGGACAGTAGGGATCGCAGAGCGTCGGGTAGGTTAGCGTGGCATAGCATCGGGTAGATGTGCACGGGGGTAATGCAACCTTATGGAAAATCGGAGTTTGTATTTGCGTCGGGTAGCGTCGCATGGCGTAGCATCGGGTAAGTGTGTTTCTGGCATTAAGCGTGAACCAATGCCGGTTCATAATGAGTTCACCAGGATCAACTCTCAGCTCATACTGTTTATCTTTCAAAGTTAATAAGAAAAGACTCGTGTATTTCTGAATTATTCAAAGTTTCAAACGTATTTATGTAAACTGGTTTTAGAAGCGGAGACAAAAAATATGTACATTTCCAGCGAGACTTTCGATTACAAAAGCGTGCTGTAAACAATGGGATGTTCAAATATATAACACTAAGACTTTTATATATGACATATGACATTTGTAACACTAAGATATGGTTGGTTGTTCAACGTCATTGTTTTCTCAAACATCATAGGGGCATTTATCAAAATATAAAACTCATTAAAAATAGAAATAATATTTTTATTTAAAAAATAATAATTGTGATGAAAACAATAACGTGCTCTTATTGCCCGGGTGTGCATATCATTGCTGGGTTTATCTGTCAGGGGATTCTGTTTGATTGGTTTTTAGTACATTTGTAAAAAGTAAAAAAAAAATATTTTCCTGACATTTTTCTGGGTTTTAATATATGAATACATTTGATCTTGTCTTCTGGCTTTTAATACAATAAATGATGTGTATTGACATGAAAAAAAATTCACCCAGAAGACAGAGAAAAACTAAGTAACTGTACTAAGAACGAAAGAAATGCAGTATATGTGTATATATAAGTGCATGCGAGACATAAAAATTTAAATTATCTTCTGTACTCAATTTGGTCATACCAGGAAGACGGATTTTCCGTTCTGTTTCAACTTGTCCAGGGCGCATTTTATGATAGACTGTCCTACGAAATGTGAAGGCAGTGGAGAACCCGCTAACGGCATCGTTGGTTTGATCTCTAAACCCGAGATATGGTCCTCTTTGCTTAAATACATATAGTTGCGTAACGATTCCACCTTCCAATTCTTTATAATTATGTCCTTGTTAATGTCTCATCAGCTGGCACACGCATATTGCCAGTGTTTATTTTTATATGTACACACCCGATTTCGGCTTCACGCCACCTACGCATCTTCGTTTTTTATAAGTTCTCATTGATGATATGTTGATATGAACCTTGTCGTTTGTTGTGTAAAGTTTGCCCGTATTTTTATACCGAACTTTCTATAATAGCTTAGCTAGCTGTATGAAATTCTAAGATAATGTGCTTATCTCAAACTAACAGAGACTTATCACGGCACACATCTGGATCCAGGATTGAACTTGGAGAGGAGGCATGAGTTAAAGGCACATGTTTTTTTCTTATTGTTAGAAAGATCTCTAAGCCTCATACATTCAGTTTTTCAATCTGAGGTCAATGCAATAGAACTCTGTGCAGTAGAAATACTCAAAGATGGATTAAAAGTTGTATAGACATACAAGATGTCTACAAGACTGAGTATGGGTCAACCAGACCAACCAATATTGATCATTGTGTGCAAGGTCCTCCTTTTAACATTCACCTTGGATGGCAGGACGCAAGGTGACTGAAGGAGATGGACAGGCTGACAAATACCAAAAGCAAGAGCTCGCACGCTTTCAACCAGAACTGCAAATTAGCATTGCTAAAAATTTGCTCTGTGCAGTAGCAATATTCAAAGGTGGATTAAAAGGTGCAGATATACAGAGTATGAGTCAATAAATCAAGGACTGAATCCTCATAAGTAAGTTATTGTATTTGTTTGTTTAGTAACCAGAGGAAACTGTGCCCATTGAACATTGGGCCAGTGGGATCAAAAGGTTAACCAACAACAAATGAATAGCCATCTACTTAGAAGCAAGGTGACACTAAAGCAACCTCGTACAGAAAGTACAGAGTCCCATCATAAAGCCCTGTCAGACATTGGGGACAACAAAAAATTATCTTTTTTGGGTACAGGGGAATACAGAGGAGCATGGAGGACATTGAATCAACACTGATCTTCGCTGAACCCTTTTGCGGCATACAAAATTGCCAAAGATTTAAATTCATCGATGGGTTAAAAATAAGTCCTCGGTTCAACGGACAATCACAGAAACTAATGGCAGAGCTAATAAACCTAGGACGTGTTAAGATTATAATGATAGGACTGCCGGCTCGACACTGAAGACCCCAGAGGCGTACTACTATACTACCAATTACTCGGAAGCAGATACAAGCGTGTGAAGATATTGCCAGGAAGAAGAAGAAGAGGAATCCTACATCGCAAACTACTGGGATAATCAAATCAGGTCATTATACAGCAGGTGCCAGGATACGAGGTGATTAAAGATAATGAACCGGCTGAAAAACCAGCAAAACCAGAAGCCTCCTGGACCTTTAAACCAGAACCACAAATCCTCATACCCCTTCTTCTTCTTCTTTGTGTACCCTATCCGTTAACGGACGTTCGTCATCACGATCGAATTATCAAGTGTTTTAGATGAACCATTGCCTCAGGATTTCCACCCTCAAAATTCTTCTCCTACCAAAGCTTCGTTTTCGATTTTTCCTTCTACATTAATTTAAACAGTTCATGTTCATGAGAGTTACGTAGAACATGGCTGAAATACCCAAGTTATCTTGTTTTTGTTATGTTAATTTTTTGTTGCTTTCTACCTCCCCGCTAGTGATGTGTTCTGTCCAACCTGTTTTTAGCATTGTAGTGCCCGGCAGTATCTGTATTACCGTTTACGTCTACTGATAGACGCGAACAGGCTCAATAATTTCTCTACACCACAACTGGTACCTTTGGCTATCGCGTGACAAGATTGGATTGCGAAGAAACATGACATGGCGTTTTATAGTGGCCGGCATCACTTTTCCAATCTTGGGAGCTGATTTTTAAAAGCTTTTAATATAATAGTACACCATAGAAATCGTCGACTCGTTGACGGGCTACTGGGTTCATATCTTGACATTGCTCCTCAACTGGCGACAGGTTCAATTAGTGCATTCCTCCGAATAACAAATACAATGACATCTTGCAATTATTCTATTCAAGGAATCATCTGACGTTACAGCATAGTTACCGATCTCCAGTCTTTCCCAAACCTTACTGTTTGCCACCTGACAAGTTAGCCGCAGCACGTACGGAATTCCAGCTACTCTGCAACTTACGGATCTGCCGACCTTCTAATAGCCCATGGTCTTCACCATTACATATGGTTACAAAGAAAGATGGCAGTTGGTGGCCTTCCGGAGAATATCATTCTCTTAACTCAAGTACGATACTACATCGCTATCCAATTCCACATCTCTCAGATTGTCACTCGGAATTGGCAGGGAAACGAATTTTTTCTAAAATGGATTTGGCCCGGGCCTACTACAACATACTGGTGGTAGAAGAAGATTACCTAAACCGGCGATCACTACACCATTTGGATTGTTTGAATCATGCGACTACCTTTTAGTATACGCAATGCTGCAGAAACATTTCAGAGGTATACATTTCGCCATGAAAAATGCTTTTTCGTACCTCGATGATGTCTTGATAGTATCAGAAGATGAAACATCCCATCGGTCAAACATACGTGAACCGTATGTTATACGATGTTGTATAAATTCAACTTAATGTAAACACGTCCAAATCAGAGTTCGGCGTTAGAGAAATAGATTTCTTGGCTGCACCGTTTCTCCAGAAGGAATCCGCCCACGGGCAGACAGAGTTAAGGCCATTAAAGATTTACCCTTACCCAAGACCGCCCAGGGCCTAGTGAATTTCTATCGACGATGTTTACCCAATTCCGCCGAGACCCAAAACAGTTTGCGTTAATTCCTGACAATATTAAGAAAGGCGACCGATAAATAGTATGGTCAGATGAAACTAAGCGGGCATTCACATCACTTCAAACATCGTTAGAAAATGCCGCGCTCCAATTACAAAAAAGCAAGACTCAGTCGTCGTTCCGTTAGGATTTAATTCAAAAGCAATCACGCCTACACAACAAAAATATTCAGCATATGATAGTAAGTGCTGTCAGCCTACTCAGCAGTGAAATATTTTCGCCCAACCAATGGACATCAATTTACAATTTTTCTGATCAACGAACACTTGCGAATGCTTTTCAGCATAATGCTAAGGTATTTATATTTTGTATATTCAGAGAATGAATTGTTTGTCCATTCTGAACTTTTGTGATATACACATCTTTGGGTTTTGGTTATGTTTAATGGTCTAATTACCTAAATACTGACGGTCAAAGGCAAGACACAATTGGGGATAAAAGACACTAGGTATGACCAGTATTTCCTGCATCCTTTTAATCTAGGCTTTGCAAAATTGTCTTGGAAAGATTCAGGAAGGAAATGTTTTTTATTTTCGTATAATACTAATTGTTCCTATAAGGTAATACTGAGTGCCCCGAGTGGTTTTTTTTAGAAGTCCTGAATCCCTAGGAGCAGAAGTGGATATAATGATGACGCAATAATTCTTATGAAATATTATTTTTTTATTTAAGTGGATAGTTTGATAACATTTTAAGTGTTACAACTTTTAAGAAGTTCTTTTCGTACGACTTTTCCAACTGCATTCTTTGGAAGGGATGAAACAAAATGAACGCCGCCTCTTAACCTCTTTGAGTCAGCTACATTTTCTGGAAAATTGACATATATGGTATTCAATGAACATATTATTGGGTAATTAGGTTTAAATTATACTGTAATAAATAATTCATTAATAGTAGAACAATATAAATACAGGAATTACTTTCTCTCTCCTTTTTAGCTCACTAGTCATGTTCAAATGTAAAAGTACTATTAGCTTGGATGTTTCCCATCATTTTGGTCTAGCTATCCTTGGCAATAAAATAAAATTTGTGGTAAATACCAATCACTGAATATGGTGAAAAGCTGACACGCCCTACAGACCAAGCAGCAAGAAGGAAAAGACCAAAATGATCAGAAACTAATAAGTTTTCCATCACTTTTTTCAGCATTTTCAAGCTGTTATCAGTCAAGCTAGACAAAAATATTGGAAAAAAGAAATTGTAGAAAAAAGTGTGAAGTAAAATGCATCAAATGTCAGAACTATAGGGTGGACTAGAAAACATTGTTCCTCTTGCACAGAAGTATGGTCCTGGAAAAAAATTTTATTACAACACATGAAAAAGTGGACAGTAAAATAATTCCCGTCCCGCAGGAGGTCTTAATGTCCAATTACCTGTAGGGTCAAACCAGTGCAGTACTTTCTGCATATCATTCACAATTAAAAATTCTCATGCTATGCTGGGATTCAAACCCAATACGGCTAGCATGACAAATATGAATCAGACACCTAGCCACTCGAAAAAAGTGGTCAGGATATAGTATAAGTCACTCAAAGGGGTGTTGGGTACTCTAACATCAATGCTAATCCTTTCAAGGAGAGGCCTGACCTTGTAAAGAATAAAATTAAATATAATTGGGGGTCCATAGGAGGGAAGTGGTCAAGATTGGAGCAGCAGTGTTCGCAAACAAATATTGGAGTTAAAAGCAAACCCTCATGATGATTTGTTTTCTGTACTGAAATTTCATTGGATGGTGGAAATGACAGATGGTTTGCCTACATACAGGTACAAATATCTGACAGGATATAGAGCTGAATTTTGCCCAGTACATTACAGCCTCCAAATATATCTGGCAGATCTAAAACAATTTTAAAACACATACCCACAAACATATATACGCAAAAAGCGAGAAAGCGGTTGGACCAGCATGTACATAAAGAGCAGACAGTTTCAGCAAGATAAATTGGAGCTAAAGGAAAAAATGGGTTGATCCGAAGAAAAAGGGTTATAATCCGAAATTCATGAGATCAAAGCTCAACAAACCTCCTTTTCTTAATAAGACTCTGGCTGGAAAACCAGGAAAATATGTCAGTAAGGTTGTATGGGCATAAGAGCATAAAGATATAGAAGATAGCATAAAATCAGATGCAGTGGCAAAAGAGGCAAGAGAATAATAGCCTTATTCGTTTAAATATTATCATAATAGAGGGCATAGTGGCTGACAAAGAGAAGTGGTGCAATGAATGGAGCAAGGTATACTACAAATCACAATACAACTGGGATTCACAAATTGACAGTGCTTTGATCAAACAAGAAGGAACAGGAGCTTCTACATCAGAATATTACGATTAAGATTTAACCATAACCTACTTCAAATGTACGTGCAGAAAACTGGGATCAAGGAATGACAGTGTAGCCATCAGCCTAGGTCTTCTCCCACCATCACAAAAGTGGAATAACTTTTCCCCTGTATCTGCCAGTTTGTGGCTACCAGTGAAATCAACTAAACTATATTTTATGTACTTATCAATAATTTCTGAAAGTTTAATATAATTTTTTATTAAGACTATTGTGAGTTAATTCATCAAACCACAACAGCAATGTGACCAATACCATACCGGAGTCATAGAAGACTCCAACCACACAATTTTGCAATGTCCAACCCTTAGGGATAACTGAGAAGATATAAGAACAAGAAATAAGGCCAGATAGAATTTTCAGAGCTGTCTCTAATAGGCAATCAATTGGATTCAAAAATTTTAGATAGACCAATATCCCGTTATCTTGTACAAATTCTTAGATAGCACTATAGGATAAGAAGATTATTTGTACAGTGTGTCCTGGTTTCCAAAAAACTCAAATACATTAAAAACCTGATATACTATTTAAAAATTTCCTAAATTCTTCCAAATTTTACTTACCAACCAAGAAAATTTATTCATAAGCAGAATCATTGTCTTATAATTTCTACAACCTATTATTTTACGATTAATAGAAATATTTTTACCTTCAACAAGTTTACATAATTCTTTTTCAGTCAGTGACGAATTTGATTGTTTTATAACAAAAGCGGTGGGCCATTCTCCATCAATATCATGTTGCATACCGACCACACAAGCTTCAATGACATCAGGATGTTTGTAAAGTATTTTCTCAAGTTCTGCAGGTGCAATCTAATAAAAAAAATAGCTAGTTTTTAAAACATCTAACAATGTAGTGCACTTGAATTAAATTTTGATGTACCTGGACTCCTCTGAATTTCATTATTTCTTTTAGCCTGGATGTAAAATATAAATAACCACTCTCATCGTAGTGACCAATGTCTCCCATATGCCACCAACCCTCTGAATCTAACTCAGTATTTTCAAGATCTTTGTTCATATAACCGGCCATAAAGCAATGTGATTTTACACAAATTTCTCCGTCTTCTCCAGGACCTAGCTCTTTTCCAGATGTGAGGTCTACTATTTTCAAAGTAACCCCATGAGAGATCTGACCTACACCTTCATACATGCGAGTATTTACAGGCAACTCCTTGAAATTCTGAGAAACAATTCCAACTTCTGTCGATCCGTAACCAGATAATAAAATGTTACGATTATTGAAAACTTTTTTACAAATCAGATGTTTATGGTCAGTTGAAGTGAATGATCCACCCATAAAAATATATTTTATAGATGATGTATCATATTCATGAAGATTCGGCAGCAGACACATTTCAAGCAGGGGTGAAGAACTAGTAAACCAAAATCCTGGCTGAAATACAAAATTTATAGAGATAAAGATTTAAAGAAAGGAAAAATAAATACAGCTTCAATCTTCATGAGGATTATTTGGAGGGATGCTGAATGAAAAAGTTTCTGACTTGAAGGTTCATTGTGAAAAAATTGAAAAAAACATCAACCATGTAGGATTTTTGATTGCAAGTAGGTTGGAATATTTAGTTGGACTCCAAAGTTCGATGTCCAATAGGTCTCAAAAGCCAGTTTTGACAGCCTGTCCAGCAGTCTTTTAAGAAGTCTGAAGTGTCTGTTCATTTCTTGTTTTTTCCATACAGATGAGAATGTATAAGTAGTAGTTATGATTTGTAGGTTGAAAAGTTCACATTTTTGTTTATTGTCATTTTCCACCATTTGCCACTGTTCAAGGGATGTAACGTGGGTATGCAGATGTTTGAGATGATGGGATATTTGTGAAAGTAAAGGTAGTATCACCCGCATGGGATGTTTACTGTGAAAGTATAGGTCCTAAGATACTTCCTTGAGTTATCCCTGCATCTGTACAATATCATGCTAATAAAAACACACTGATAATCTGCATGCATATGTTGGTTAAGTTTGATTTAGATCCCTCAAGCTTCCAGAATGGACCGAGTGCCATACCAGATCAAAGGGTCATTTCAGGTCTAGGAATACACCGAAGCAGCATTTCTTTTGGTCAAGATTGATGATGTCTACAATGCAATGGCAATGCTGAATGGACTGAAAAGTCTGAACCAAAACTGGTGATCAGGAATAAGGTTGTAGGGTGGAGAAAATGATGGAAGGTTATGAAGTTATTTAGAAATGAGGGAGAATTTCAGTTGGAACAGGATATATATTGTTCTAAGACAGAAGTGTGAATGTAGATAAGGAAAACTACAGCTTTTTTAGGTAGGTATCACTGAATTTTTGCAATGATTAGGTCAAAACTCAAACTTTTTTTATGGTAGATGGCTTATGACATAGGATACTTCATTGGATGTTAATGGTTTTGGAAGAGGAAGGTATTAGGTAGAGGAGATATTAGGTCTTGTTCTATGGTTCTATTGAGGTTGGGATCATTCAGGTCAGGACGAGGGGTAAAACACTGTAGAGGTAATATAAATAAACATCTGAACCCAAACTGGCAGTCAAGAATGAAGTTGCAAGAATGAAGGATGGATAGAATATACTTAAGCAGGGTTTTTTTATGTTTTGATATCATCCAGATGATGGAAAATTTCAATCAGGATGGAAAATGTGTTGTTTTAATGAAAGAATGGTGCACGTAAAAAACTACTGCTTTTTTCAATAGCCAGCATAGGTTTTTGCAGTAATTTGGACAAATCCAAAAGCTTTCTTATTTTTTTAGTGGTAGAAGGCTTTTGGCATGAGTTGTCTGTCGGTGGCCGCAATGGGGGCTGTTGACACAGTGCTCATCACTGTAAGGTAAAGGTCCAGCAGGCCTGTATTTGAATCTGACATACTTACAAATGGGCTTTTTTTTAACACTGGCATCCTAAGGATTCAAATAACCTTGTAGTTGAAAAAAGGCTTATGGCATGGGATACTTAGGTGTGGATGGATTTGGTAGAGGGCACAGAGGATGAGGAGAAGCAAGCCCAAACTTTAACTCACCTTTAATTTGTCTATGCATTTTAAAAGTCCTTCTGCATCAGTTTGCGTTGGTAAAATAAATGTCTTGTTACAAAAAATGGTCTTAGTTATTACAAAACAGTTGGAGACCCAAAACATGGGCGATGTCAATAGGGTCCTTGTGGACTTGTCCAAACTCGCTCTTAAAAATTAAATTAAACGATTATTAGCACAGAAAAAATATTATCAATTATTCAGCCATTTTCTTTACAACGAGTAAAATCCTTTAGAGATAAAATTAAATAGAACTAGGTAGAATAGAATAGCAGTAATCAAGAAATACATTTAGCATAGCTCTGAATTTTATGTATAACTTACGCAGTTGGAAATACTATCATAGTTGAATCCTTTATTTTGACTGCTTTTGGTACTCCAGTGGTACCACTTGTGAATAAAACCACTGGTATGTGATTTGCAGGATCATCGATTGTTACACTGAATTTTGATACATCTTCATTTAAAAGTTCATCAAATGATAAATACTGCGGCTCTTTGTGTTTTGTTATTATTGTTATATCCCATCCAATATTTTTGATCGACTCTTCAACCATGCTGAGATATTGGTTGCCACAAAAGATTATAGCTGGTCGGCTGATCATAATATTTGCTCTTACTTCAGCTAAATTATGTTTTTAAAATAAATAATTGCTTCTTTATTATATTTAAAATGTCCAATAATTAAATGAAAATTACCTGATGTTTGAAAATGGTTCACAGGGTTGGAGGTCCCTCCAGAGAACCATAACCCCAATTGAAAAGATATCGCTTCTACATTATTATCAATGAGAGAAGAAACGACAACATTTTCTCTAATTCCCAACTTTTGGAGTTTAACTGCAATGCTGGTACTCATTTGCAAAACATTTTCATATGTGTATTGCTTGTTTGTGGATTCATCAATCTGGAACATGAAAATTTTATTCAGTCCCTCTTTGTTGTGTTATTCAGTGTGGATCTGAGGGGATGATGATGATACTAGGAAGTATTTTTTTCTAAGCACTATAGGTTTTCAATTTATTGTCCTTTTCCTAGGGTCCCATAGGATCAATATTAGGCCCTACTCTATTCTTTAAATACCTAAATGAATTTCCTAAGTATCAGACTTAAATTTAGTATTATTTGCTCATGATAGAGGACATTTTACTTCTTCCAGGCATGTTAGTGTTGTGATCAGACCAAAAATTGATCTTAAGAAAATATTTAAGTATATTGGAAAATGGATAATTAGAAACAACCGTACTAAGATGGAGACTATTTTATTTACAATACTCAGACATTGCATAAACACGGAGTGTGTGTTAATGTTAAGGGTAACATGATGCCTTGGTCTCCATACATTAAACATCTGGAATATGGCTGGACAGTAAGTTAAATTTAGTGAATTATACTTTCTTGTAAATAAATGTAAAAAAAGTGTGAGAAAGTTGTTTCCTACATAAATAATTATTTATTCAAAATGAAATTTATGAAATAAACCTTATTTTATTTTACTCAATCGATTTATATTGAGAAAATAATTTGCTTGCAAACTCTCATACAAAATGTCTGGGTGTAGCCCTACATTTTTAAATTTTGAATGAAATGGAAGGTGGTCTAGGAATAAATATCCACCACTTCCAACAGATATTTCGGATCAAACTCGTCCAGCAGATTGACTACAATTATCTTTTCCAGCATTCCAGACCTTGCCAAGTCAAGAACTTTGAATATAAGGGCCTTCATTTAATAGTATTGTAATTATTTTTTGTCGGTAATTTTAATTAAGATTATTGTCGCTTGTAATTTTGTGACTGTTACATTTATTTTTTTGTTTTTAATATTTATTCGTCATTTGTATCTTCTATCTTTCTTCACCATATGAAATTATTAATGAATGGGCTTAAGTGGACAAAAATGTAACCCTCTTAATAAGAAAATGAAACCCTCTACACTGTTCCAATTCATCCTTTTTGCCAATGTCAGGAACCGTATTATACAACTAAGACCAAAAAAACTGCATAAACAAAACATCTACATAATTTGTTTATATATGTACATATCCCATGACGACCCCATTTGTAGGTTATGCAATGAGAAGGAATCAGCTACCCTTATGATATTCGAATATGAAGCAACGTTAGAGACCTAATCTAATGCGCTAAATAGGCCTAGAAAAATAACTGAAGCAATAATGACCTGAAATTTCATTATTTTGTTCAGCCTATCTTGCTGGGTTACCAATGTACTCAGTGTGTCCATCAAAATAGCAAAATGTCACAGACCAACCCAGCGAGGATAGGAAGACGAAAATAATTGTCAGTGACCAAAAGTCAACAACCATTCTTAATTCTTTAATATTGGAAATATCTCTTATATCAGCCAACACCATAACTGCAAATTTACATTTGTATATATCAAATTAGATGTTTAGTCAAGGACCAAATTGCAAAGAAATGGAAAAAATCAAAACAATCAACTCCTTAAATGATTATTGATTACTGATTTATAGAAGATCAAATCTGCACATGCTTGTGTATATATGTGTGACCAGAGCTAAGCCTGTCACCTCTCTCAGCTTGGTGGCAATTCCGCTTTTCTATAATTTACAATAAATGGCCTCAAGAATCACCCACCAGGGGTTGGCAGTCAGGGGTGAGACCTAGATTTTATATGTCCAGCCACCCAGTTTTTACGATAAAGTATCATCCATCCACATATTGGTGACTGCCCAACGTGATGATGTTCCTGAGAACATTGTTACTAACTCGGACGAGCGTGCTGCACATGCCACTCTTCATCATTGGCTGATGCTTGGAAAGGCTCAACCACTGGGGGAGGGAGCTATGGGGTGACCGCCAGGTGGGTACCACTACATGTCAATACTGCTTCAACTATGGTCTTGCCTTTAACACTGCAGCCGATGAGCTTGCAACAGCTCTATGCAGGGGCTCTACTACCTTCTTTCAGAGCAGCTGCAGTCGTGACACCTAATAGATACAATATACTCAAAGAAAGACAAAATGAAATATCTATAAAGTACAGTAAAATAGACCTGTGGCCTCTAAACACTGTTATCATTCCTGGTGTCCCGATTTCCCGTTTTTCTTTTCCTTTTTGTTGAGTTTTCCACATTTTCCAACTGTAAATACCCAGGGGTTATTATTTCGCTAACTGTGTCTGGGGTTTTCGTAATAGACTAGGTCGGTTCCCAGGATTTGATGACACTTCCGATGGCCCAATATTAAACAATACGCTTTCCCAACCATTAGCCGAAATATTCTTTCTTCCCATCTTAATATTTACAATAAATTTTAATCCCGAATAATATTAATTTAAGATTCCTTTTTGGAATCTTCAAAAACTGTAAATAGCAAAAGCTGGACTACAAGAAGCCAATAGGCTCAACTCGGCACGTGTTTGTGTATTTGCATGTACTTGTGCAGATTGCCTATACAAACCCAAACCAAATCTGTTTATGTGTTACAAAAAGGAAAAAACGGGTTAGACTAGTAAGTCGACATCCCCATTGCTTTGAGAACATAGTTTTAAACCTAAACCACATTTATTTAAAATTAGTATTTATTGTGTATTTATAAATAAATATAATTTTTATAGAGTTAAGTGTTTAATTTAAAGTCCTAGATCTTGTTAATAATGTATTTTGTAACGTTAAAACATTGGAACTCGCAGAGAGAGAGTCATGCAAACACCTAACATAATTGTTTTATATAGTTTTACAACGAATGTATTATTTTATATTATACGCAAAGGTTTTTATGAGAGAAAAAAGTTATATATTTAATTCAAGTGCTTGAAAAAAAAAAGAGATAAAAATATAAACGCGTTTTACAAAACGAAGATGAACTTATACTAGCTTGTATACAAGAAGAAAGTGCATGTGAGAAATCAAATTTTACAATACTTTATGTGATCTCAATGTGTCATACCAGGAAGACGGATTTTCTGTACTCTTTCAACTTGTCGAACGCGCATTTTACAAAGGATTGTCCGACTAGATGTGAAGGCACCGGCGGACCCGCTAACGGCATCGTCTGTGTAATAAATAAGAGATATGGTCCTCTTTCTTTAAATACACAGACAAGCGGCAATTGCGTAAAGCGTTCCTCCTTCCACAAGAATTATTTAAAATTGGTGTCCTTTTTTTTAATGTTCTATCCCAGCACGCACGGCCAGCCTCCAAGGACGGCAAAATTACCTGTAATTTTGGTAATTCCTTGCAAAGAGGAACTAGATGCGAATTAATTGTTAGCCAATCTTTTGTCCGGATTGAACGAAAATGTATAAACTATAAATGGTCAATTATAACTACTAAATATATTAGACAATAAAGTTTAAGTAGCGACTCAAAAACAATAAACGATATTTTCTGTGTAGCAATAAGAATTTAAAAAATACATTACATACTTCCAACCATTGATTTTATTAAGATGTATTTATTTTGTTTATTTATTTATTTTTATTTTTATTTATTAAGACTTTTCCTAATGATACATGTCAGCAGCATAGCCACATCGGAGCCAAGAACCAGAAATCACATGACAGAGGCAGCCCCAGGCAGGGAAAGAAGAAACCCTATGGATCTCTTACGACTAATCATCAAGGACTCAGATGTCTACTGTTTCGCCAAAGTTAACAAATCCTCCAAGCTCACTGGAGATACTTTGATCTCAGAGACCAAGGAGGCTCCCTTCAATCCAGCCCAAGAACAACTCATTCCCAAAGCCTTGGGCAGAGTAAACAAGAACTGACGCAATGTCTACTAAGAAGTTCAAAATTTTATCGATGTTTTAATGTCTTTATGACGTACCTTTGACGGTTTTCTAATTAAGATGGTTGGGGGGGGGAAGAAAACCACGTTCTATGACTTTTGGTCTCATTGGCACATCTTCATCATCCCAAATTGTCTTAATAAATAATGCTCCGTACACAGCAAATCAAAGATCCAAAGAATCCGACCTTATCTGTGTTTTTAATTGCTTAATTTTTGCAGTAAACTAAACCGAACAAAACCTTTCCTTATAATACAAGGCAACGGCACAGCCACGTCGGAGCCAAGACCTCACAAACCACAGGACAAGGAAAAACGAAACCCAATGATATTTTACGATTAGTCCTCAAGGAGTCGGTGTCTACTGTCTTCCCACAGTTGACATCTCCAACCTCACTTTGATCTCAGGGACCAGGGGAGGCAATACTCAACCAGCCCAAACCCGACTCATACCCATAGCCTCGTATGTGGCAGAGGAAACAAGAATTGACAAAGTTGGATGTCTACTGGAAAAGTTGAAAGATGTTTTATTGTCGTATCTTAAAGTTTTCTAATAAGAAAGTTGGTGGAAAAAGAAAACCATGCGTTCCAGTCGTTTCGTGCTCATTCATTCTCACTATTCACAAATGGTTCTCTTTATTCTACACTAGAAATTAACCACAACTACGGGCATGGCTTTAAGTAAATTAGCCTAGGTAATGCAGATGTAGGAAACTAAGAGTAAGCTAGGGTTTCATTTCAGGAAGGTCTAAATTTCCATTGAGTCTTTTATTTGCTTCACAGTAATTTTTTCCTATGTAGGCACATTATCCTCACACCGAGGCATCCAAGACAAACTGCTCAAAGCAAAAGCAGAGTTCACGGAAGGGGCCAAGTTCTGTCTGCCATTTCAGATCAATTGCCACAAAAATTAATTAAATTTTTGCACATTCTCTATTTACTTTGAAAGTTAAGCATCATCTCAATAAAAAGCTCAGCAATCTTTCTTTCATCGAAAAAACTAACAGAACTCGAATTACTTGGAATACACCTAGCCACGAAATGAATTTTTTTTATCTCCTGTGAGATTAAAAACGATCAGATCCCTCTACCTCAATGGTCCAGCATGATTAAATTCCAAAACCGACACAGCCTTGAAAGTTCCAAAACCATTGCAGTTAGACTCTTGCAAATAAAAAATATTTATAAATTAATTTAAAAAATAAATTAAATAAATATTTACATCCGCAACGGATGCTTCTATCATCATAATAGATCCTGCAGACTTAGCAACTCTACAGAGGCTATATTAGACCCTCTCCCACCATTTTCAAAAGACTCATCCTCAGACTCAGACTCGGAGTTGAACCGCATCTTAATCATGACCTCGTCCTAATTTTAATAATATATAATAAATAAATCTTTTTTTTTTTTAAACGAATGTCGTTGAGTCAAATTTATGGTATGCACATACGCGAGCGCGCGCGCACACACACACACACACACACACACACGTCCATATGCCCATACATCTATATACATATCTAATTATACTTCTATTTATATTTTCTGTATCAAACGCGTTGTTTTCAGAAAGTCAAAGAGTCTATTGATAACAGGGGGATCATCACCAAGAATCTCCGCTAATTGGCTTGGTAGATTATGAAGTATTCGTTGTTGTTCAAAATTAAGGCAATTAGTCAAGAGGTGTTTTACTGTAACCAATTCCCTGCAGCAATCGCAAACTAGCGCCGGTTCTCTGCACATAAGGTACCGTGGGTAAGTCTACTATGCCCGATTCTAGGTTTCGTCAACACAGTCTCTTCGAGCCGCGACTCGCGCACTGAGGAGCCCCAAGGGCCAATATTTGGTTTAATATCTCTTAGCTTGCTGTCCCTCACTTCTCTCCATCCCTCCTGCCACTTCTGCCATACCTTTTCTTTCAAATGGGAGATAAAATCTGTGTGAGGAGTGTACTTAAGTGGGATCCCATCAATAGTGGCCTGTTTTGCAGCGATATCCGCTTTTTCGTTGCCCACCCACTATACCACAGTGTCCTGGAATCCACAAGAAAATTACTTGTATGCCAGAGAGTCTCAATCGTCCCAGAGTAAGCAATATCTCCTGAACCAGCGGTTGCATAGAGAATCGGTTTTTCATTGCTGTAAGTGCCGATAATGAGTCTGTGCAGACTAACGAGTTGCCTATAGGATAAACTATGTTAAGGCATTTACCAATCGCAGTTAGTTCGGCAGTATAATTATTGCAGACATTTGGCAGGGAGAACATATACCTTTTTTTGTTGATCATGAATGCCGCGCCTGTTCCGTTTTCGCTGTGATCCGTCGGTGAAGGCAAGGGTGTGGCCCTTATTCTTGAAAATTCCTGTCTATATAAATAAGGAGGAGTATTTTCTTTTGGGAATTTGGCGAGATCCAGCAGGACTCTAGGCTTCGGTAGTGTCCATGGAGGTTTCGAGGCAGTTCCCTGTTTATAGAGCTGAGGCACTGCGGCATTGAATGAATTTAAGCAGATCGTTACTCTGGGCATAAAGTGCTTTCTTTTGCAGTTTAAAGCATAGTCTAGTGAGGGTAACCGCCCGAGTGTGTATTCTGAAAATAGCGAGTGAGTCGGGGATGATAGAATTTTGCCTAGCAGTTTACATTCTAGTAAGCTTCTACGATGGTCGAGGGGAAGCTCTCCCGCATCAATGTGCAGGCTGCTCACTGGGCTAGAGCGGAAGGCTTCCAAAGCCGTGCGCAAACCTGCATTCTGAACACTTGCTTATCTTAAAACTTCGGATGATTCTAGGGACGGACAATCCGATTCGACCCAGAACACCACACAAACCGGATTGCTAATAGGGGCAAATTCCGAAAAAATCATCCTCATTAAAATTCTCTAAAACCTAGATACCCGCAAATATTTAAAGACGAAGTAAATAACCAAATTGAAAAAAAAAGTTAAAATAAAACATAATAAGATCATAATTTTCCCCATATTCAGCCCCGGTTTGGGTCGTCCCAAAAAACTTGACGCCTCTGGACGAAAAAAGTGGCGCTTAGTCATCGATTACCGCAAGCTCAACTGTTGAATAACAAAACAGACCTACTCGACAAGTTAGGCCGGTGTAATTATTCCACGACAATTGACCTTGCATCGGGTTTCCATCAAATCGAAATCGACGAAAACAGTATATAAAAGACCGCATTTGCAACGGAAAGTGGTCTATATGAATTCCTACGAATGCCTTTCGCACTAAAAAACGCCCCGAAGACATAGAACGATGGACCGTTACATCCGCAACGGCTGCTTCTGTCATCACAATAGATCCTGCAGACTCAGCAACTCTACAGAGGCTATAATATTAGACCCTCTCCCACCATTTTCAAAAGTCATACTCAGACTCAGACTCGCATCTTAATCACGCCCTCGTCCTAATTTTTATTTAACAAGTTATTCACTTTTATGTAAAGTTAATTGTAAACTTTAATAATATATTATAAATAAATCTTTTTTTTAACGAGTGTCGTTGAATCAAATTTATAACTTAAATAAATAAAAATAAAAAAGACATTACAAAAGTTTTTCCTTGCAGCGCTACAATTATATTTGATTTGATTAATGTTAAGTAATAAGTCACATATCACACTAAACATAAAAAGCACGATTAGTTGTAAATTCTTTTAACCTGCATGACTTTCATTATTTTTTTTTACATAACATTAACACACATTTAAACAAACATGATATTTGACTTGCTCAGAATTAGTATTTCATTATCTGCATTACAACTATCTTATCTATTAATTGTTCGGGTTGTTATATACATATATGTGGAGGTTTATGGGCTGACAAACAGCTGACGTCATCGTCTTCACTCTGCCCGTTTTACTTCTTTTTCTGGCTTTTCACCCGTATTTTTCAACCGACAGGTGTTTGAGCGTCTTATATGTTTATTACGTCGGTATCCTCTTGTTTGTACCACTTGTCGTCAACTAAAGAATAGACGCAAAACATACATACATAGAAACCTTGCCGCACTCACTCCCCGAGCGTATTCGATATTACTCGGTGCTGGGTTAATCAACCACTTCATTTCACGCTAATAAATTACATCCATTACAATAAATTAACATAAACGTACACAAACACTTTTAAAAATTATATACAATTCTATATAGTCCTGAGGTACCAAAACAGCGATCCCCAAGACTACGCACAGGTCCAATGATATGCCACAATATTGTCTACATATGTGTATTTAGTGACCGTTAATTAATAATTATTTGAAGATTGTGGGATTTGTTTCATAGCTAAAGCATGTCTGTGTAATCACAATGACTGCTGCTGCAAAACATTCGTTTTCAGTACTCGTTTTATTAGTTTTTAATTTTATTTATTCATCCTACGTTTATTTTTGTAATTATTAATTATTCTTGAAGTTCGACGTCGTGGGAAGTTTTGTAGTGTGTCGTGATTGTCTGGACACACAACGTGACACATCTACACAGAAAACACACACTTTCAGCTCTGAAGATGATCTAAATAAAGATCGAAACGTAACACAATAAAAAAAAAATTTTCTAAACCTACATCACACCAGACCGCATCTCACGATCTCCAAACAATCATTGTCTATGTGCAGGGTGTTCGGCTACTCGTGTTACAAACTTTGCCCGTAGATTCTACATTCAAAATGGAACCAAAAAAAGTCCTAATTAACTATGGTCCGAATCTCAACAGTTTCGGAGTTCCACTTTTTCTGATATTTTAAGATTTCAAGATCTTGCTTCAAATAAACAATGATAATTCCAAAACTAAAAGGTTTTGGACAAATCCGTTGATACCATTGAAAACTGTCTTAAATTTCCAATAAGATGTGATCAATACTAAACTTGTCAATCTTCGTAAAATACGTGTTTTAGTAGCGAGAACTTTGAAAACAATTTTTTTTTCAAAGTTGAAAAACTTACTGTGGTAATTCTAAGCTACTATTTCCAAACCTAGAGACTAGCAAATTTCAAAAAACGTACTCTACTTAATATACTTTTAAGTGGTGCAATTGCTTTTTTAATTACTTTTTTCAAATTCATTCAAAATTTCCTTAAGTTTTATTTTTTATTATTATTAATCTTTCCACCTTACCAATCCTTCAACCACGGTTTTTTCTTTTCCTTAATCAATTTTTCATCTTTGAAAAAAGTAATTAAAAAAGCAATTGCACCACTTAAAAGTATATTAAATAGAGTACGTTATTTGAAATTTGCTGGTCTCTAGGTTTGGAAATAGTAATTTAGAATTACCACAGTAAGTTTTTCAACTTGGAAAAAAAATTGTTTTCAAACTTCTCGCTACTAAAACACTTATTTCACGAAGGTTAACAAGTTTAGTAATGATTACATCTTATTGGAAATTTAACGCGGTATTCAATGGTATCAACGGATTTGTCCAAAACCTTTTAGTTTTGGAGTTATTATTGTTTATTTGAAGCAAGGCGTGAAATCTTAACAAATCAGAAAAAGTGGAATAACTCCGAAACTGCTGAGATTCGGACTTTTTGGTTCCTTTTTGAATGTAGAATCTACGGGCAAAGTTTGTAACACAAATGGCCGAACACCCTGTATACGTCAAGCCTTCTACAATTGAAAATGTGCTCGACCATTTTGTTAATAAATAAAGTTGTAATACTAAAGTTATAAAGTAATAATAACAATAATAAACTTCTCAACTTTAATTAAAAAAATTTAAAAAAATCCAGTTTTGGGTTGAATCTGCTGAGAAGGAAGAAGTGGAGGGTTTTCCTGTGTTAAATGATTTTTTAAAAGGAAACAAACTGGGGCTTGCTAAGTATGTTGATTTTCCAACAGCTTGAGACGCAATGCTGTAAGACCATGAATGGATGGTCAAACCGTTTTCAGTTTCGACAAGCCAACCAGCCTACCTTCATGTTAATACAAATGTTTGATAGACATTACTTCAGACTTCACCTTGAAATCTACTCTCGAGTCCGATAATTACCCCCATTTTCGACTCCCTCTGGAAAACAAAAATTTCAACCGCTCCTTGAAAAAGCAAACCATATTCTTCTCCCATTTGCCACAACTTACCTAGGATATCCATATTTTCTATCTGCACATCCACCAAAACTAAATACTGAAGCTGTCTAGACGCTGAACCCAACATCCACCTCCAGCTATAAAAAATTAACCCAACATATCCAAATTGTGCAGACTAAAACAGCCTCACTCTTCTCATTAATCATTAATGCTCAAATTATTACTTTTGTGGTTCAAGTTTTACATACTCTTGATTCTGGTCTGTCCAATTGATTTTTGTGTTCTGGATTTTGTACATAAAATTAAGTATGTCAATCTAATGTTGTTTTTTTTTCATAGTAATAGCTCTCTCCATCACTTAACTCTGAATGGACTAGCTAATTTATAAAACTTTAATTTACTACATATATTATAAGTACTTAATTTTAAATACTTGTGTGTGAGAGGTCCGTCCTCGATTTTGTTCTGTGAAAAGGTTCCACTGGCCAAAAAGTTTGGGAAGCCGTGACCTCTGCTCTCCTGTTACTGTATTTGAAATTTATAGTTTTGAATCCTCTGGGGGTACAGGTTAGGAAGTGTGGGGGTCTTCTGGCAGCTTCTTTGGCTGCCCTGCCTGCTGCTTCATTCCAGTCTATCTCTATGTGATCGGGAACCCATACTAGCATGACCTTCTTCCCAACTTCCTCGATCCATTTTAACTCTTCTTTCATTTTATTCATTAAAGAGTCCACGGAGGCTCTTCTCCTGATATTCTGAATCGCACTGAGCGAATCGGTACATAATAGAAGTGTGCCTAAAATTATCAATGTAAGGGATATAGAGTTTAGTTCGGCCATGTACAGTCACGGTAGGAGGAAGTGACAATTTTTCAATTTCTCCTTCCGCGTACACAACACACTCCGTGCCCTATGCCAGGGATCGGCAACCTGCGGCCCTTTGCAACTTTTTGTGCGGCCCGCCAAAGCCCAATATAATTTTAGGAAAAATCAACAAACTTAGGGCATGAGCGTGCCGAAATGTGGCCAGTGACAAAAATGCGCGCTAACAGAAGCATAGTGGGAAACCTATTTTACTGCGCAAGTTTAATCCCCACTCCCCATAATAATATTTATACTCGTATATGATATAAAAGCACTATTTAAGTTACATTTGAATGTGCGGCCCGCATAAAAAATTTTATTTTGAAAATGGCCCGCCGTCCGAAAGAGGTTGCCGACTCCTGCCCTATGCCATTTTCGGCGGTTCTATATTCATCTTTTAGGGCTTCAAACATATAGGTATCTCAAGAGATTGATGACCTGCTTGCACTAGACTTTAATATTCATGACGGTTGCCAGCATCGAAAGTCATGTCAAGAGGTCCACGTAAATGAGGGCTATGTTCCCTGTCAGCAACTGGGGGGGGTTCCTATCCTCTCAGCATTGGCAACCATTTTGACGAATGTAGACTGCACGCTTGTTCCAGCTTCTTTTAAATCTATACTGTGTTTGTAGATAAGGGCATTAAAAAAACTTAGAGCAAAATCATCATCGGAAGTTGACTGTTAGAGGTTGATAGCAGTGACCGATGTACCGATCCTTGTGTGATCCCACTTTCTTGCTCTCTTCTTTCGGACAACATACTTCCCAGCCTAAACCTACAGTTCTGGTTGCTGAGGTAGCTTCTAAGCAACTTTGGAAGTCCATCTTTCAGGCCGAACTCGTGAACTTTCAGAGGTTACCATACTTCCTTCTCATGTCGTAGGACCTCTCGAGGTCAAAGAACACAGGCATCCCATGTTACCCAATCAGGAATGTGGTTTGCACCTTGTTCTTGAGACGAACCACTTGATCAACGGAAGCATGTTCTCCCCGGAGTCCATACTAATCTTTTATTTATAATAGACTCGTGGCTTTAACAAGGCATATGGTCAACGACTGTAGCTTGAGGGTTGGCTGGGGTCTTTGACGATCATTACTACGATGGCTTGTTTCCATTGCTCCGGGTATTTTCTGACGCCTGAAATATTATTATATAATTCTAGGAGACGACACTTAGCCACCAAGCATTGCATTAGGCATGCCGTCAATACAATTAATTTATGTTTTAGGCTGTCTTAGGCTTTATTTTATCAACATTAAACCTGAGTCAGTTCTAAATACAATATTTATTTCATTAAGTTTGTATTGTGCTAAAGCCTGCATCAATGGATTCATTAAGCCTGCATAGGGTTAAAATAAAAAAATTAGACCATATTATCATCCATGAAAAAATATATATTTGAATAGTAGCTTCAACTGATAACTTTACAATTCAGTTATATCAATAAGCTTGTCATAATCTACTTTTGGCAAAGAATCGCATATGATCAGAGTTGCAGCTTGAAACGCTTCTTTAAAAACAGGATGGATTTTGTCATTCTTCCACCATTTGTTTACCAATTGAAGCCCCTGAAATTAAAATAACTTTATAATCAAACATATAAGGTTCCATGACTGTAATAAATTCTCTTACAAGATTTAAAAAAAATAGACTTCTGAAGTCAAATTTTGCTTAATTTAATTATCTTTATTGCAAATTCTTAATGGTTTTTTTTTTTTTTTTTTTTTTTTTTAAATCTGTACCATTTAATTTCTAATGTTCATCAGTATGGAATTCCAATTCAATGTTAAATAAATAAAGCAAATTATAAACTGAAAAACTCACCATTAATTGATTATTGTTAAAAAAGACTTGGATGGCTAGTGGAAGATTATTTATAGCATACTGAAGAGTGAATTCAGGCGCCGATAGACTTGAATCAGTGATGGCGACTACAGCTAGTACAAAAATGGTAAATAAAAATCCACCAGCATTCTGAAAAGCAAATTTATCAAAGGGTTAGCAATTCCAACAATTTCATCATCCGGTTGGCCTTGTTGTGTTAGTCTTTCAGGTGCGTTTCAGCATTTCACCAAACAGTGGTATTTTTACCTGTTACGCCAAACAACAAAAATTTACAGACCAGAATGTGAAAAAGCCAAATGAAAAGTACATCACCCTGCAGACAACACAGAGACATTTTTTATGGTAATAAACATCGGCATATGGTTACAAAGGATAAAAACAAACCAAGAGGAAAACTTGCTTGATATAAATAAAAATAATAATAAAACTAGCAAGAGAAATATAGTTTTTGCAGCATCTAAGCGAAATAAATAGTTCGATTGGTACCATTTCTGTTTATACATATGAGTATTTTACATTTAACATGATCTAAAATGATGGGATTTTTGGGTAAATCAACAAGGAATCACCTGCTCTAATTTTGTTGCGATAAAAGTAAGCAACCATTGTCGATTAGTTTTCAAATTTTCATATCCAATCGCTGTTAAAACTTTAATCCAGTGAGATAACACAAATTTCTTTAACCTGAAATGAAACATGGAGCACAATTAATAAAGCTAAATATAATTTAGGAAGGCAATAAATGTGAAAGATTATGTTCCTGGATGGAAAGAATGTACTTATTTAGCATTCTAAACACAGTCTTGATGACAAACAAAAGTCTTGATGTGATTGATATCAGCCTTAATATTATGATTATATATTAAAAAAAGATCAGGGAAATTTGAAAGAAAGAAAACATTCAAATCCTTCATCAAACTTTTGAGGAATATATCCCTTTCATCAAGATTTTGAAATTATTTCTAACGTTTTAAATGTTTAACAAATATAAACAACTACTTTACATTACTCGAAATTATAGCTTCAACATAAAAAAATGTTTGAGTTTTGTTTTGAAGGGTGATTGGAATCTTTCACCCATCCATTTTATATTCTGACTACCTAATTTATTATAGTAAAGCCATAATTTCGAGTACTGTAAGTAGATGTTTATATTTGTTAAATGATAAAGAGGGTAATGATTCTTAAAAATGTATATTACTTGTAACATGACAAGTCGAGCCTGGTAGGCCCAAGGAGACAGACTGAGAACAGGTGTTGGCAGCGTTTTGCCGAATTTTCCTCCTCTTGTACAGCTGAGGTCAGGTATGTGATCAGGATGGGTCCTGAAAGGAGATTGTGCTGCCACCATCCGAGGCAAACAGTCCTGGAGGCCCATGACAATGGAAGGAGAGAGGTCAGCTTCGGGTTTTCCTCTTTACATGTAGCCGAAACCATCCTGGATCGAGGAATCGGGATTCATACATGGAAGGGGATTTGGGGCTGCAATATGGAGGACAGCTTTCCCACTGTCGGGGCGAGGAAGAAGGTTTTCAGGAAGAAAATCAGATGGACATCGAGAATGGGCTGCAGCGACCACCAGAAAATAAGTTTTGGGTTTTCAACTTGGGCAAGGCTTAGTTTTAGTAGGCTAGTTGTAGTGCTTTTATTTTATTTTTTAACACAAAACCAACCCTCCATTTGGTCTCTGGGGTTTCATTATTTTATTTTATTTATTTATATTATTTTTTATTGTCCGTCTTTTGTTCTTTCCTATTTATTTGTTAAAAATAGGACAACAGTAGCCTAGCATTTTTTAAAAATTATTTATGTTCAATGGGTATTTATTTATTTGTTTGTTTTTTCCCCATCCCACTGAGCATTTAGCCCAAATTACCAATAAACAATTTTGGGCCATAACAACATTTAATTCATTAGAAATAGTTTCAGAGTCCTGATGAAGGGGATTTATTCCTTGAAAGCTGAACGAAGGAGCTGAATATTTTCTTTCTTTCAAAATTACATTAACCCTAATCTCTTTGTATATATATTTATCCAAGTCTGATCATAATTATATCTAATGTTACAATGCAATGTAATGAGATGAGAAGTATAACTACCTTGGAGCTTTATGCGTAAATTCGATACATTTCTCAAAATGTGATAGCGTTTTGCTATTGATTGTGCTTGCCGAATAAAGAGCTATGTACTTTTTGCACGCCTCCGTTTCCAAACTGTAAATCGGTAATTTGTCAAAAAACCCACGGTCAAATTTGGCTAATATGTCATTCGAAACCAAAAATTGCTGAAACGGAATTACAAAAATAAAATGTTAAAGGTTGGATAAAATCTTTTTAAGTAAGGTTTTTGGTTGAAATTAAAAAGTTAAGGCAGTTAGGCAAAAAGGAGGGAAAATTTGAAAGGTTGTAGGTTGAGATGTGAAGTTAGTGTCCGAGTGGATCGAAGTCACGATAACTCAAGTGGTAGAGCAGCGGCGTATTTAGCCGAAAGTCATGGGTTCGAATCCCGCTCATGAGACTTACTTTTTCATTTCAACTAAAAACCTTACATAAAAAGATTAATTAATTGAAAGAAGTAATTTGGTCAATAGACCACTAAATATAATGGGGTTATATACAATCTTCATCATGTCTTTTTAATATATATTTTTTTTATCAATTAGCTCTCACCTCTGTACCGTATTTACTTTCTTTCCATATGGAAATGATGTTAACAATAAATGTTTGTCTCACGATTAAGGCAACATTGTGGTTCCTCAAAGGACGAAGCAATTTATTTCCTAAATGTCTGCAATCTAAAAAAAATAATAATACTAAATAAATAAAATAACAAATTGTGCTTTAAAACTAGATTTTTTAATAGAAAAAGCAAAGACTACACAAGCAACAAGGAGTTTGTAGTTAAAGATTGGGTATAAAAAATAGCCAATGGCTTTAACAACATTTAACTTCTAATATGTGGCCAATAACCTAGGAAAATATGACAAAATAATTTTAAAAAATTACAAGGATCTTAACATAATAAGCCTAACTTCTGTAATGGAAGTAGCACAGGGATTGCCTCTATTGAAAACATCCAGAGGATGGCATACCAAAGTGCAAATAGGCTCTTAGGAAAAATGAAATAATGCCTGACCTTAGAGAAAAGCCATCGTAAAATACTAACAAGTATAAAAATAAATGAGATGGCTACAAGGACAAAATTATGGACAGACCCTACCAATTAAAAATAACAAGATGTTTAGAAAAACCTTGAAACTAATAGATCGAAATACATCTTATGGTACAAAGATCGATCGAAAATGGAACATGGAAGGAGTTTAAGGCTCAAATTTTGGCCTAGGGAAACCTCCAGGCCCTACACTGTCAATTTTCCAAGGTGAGAACCATCCAACTCTGTGGACAAAAAGTATTTTAAAAAAATATTAAAAAGTTGTCAATTGGATGAAAAACAAATTTAATTGTTATTTTCCTTTCAACCTATTTTGAGGTCATCATCAGAGACCTTAAAGAAGTCTACAAACTGACATAACTCATTATTAATAAATGGTTTCAAATTTCTTTGAACATAGACTTAGTTCCAACACTGCCAGGGACCTTGATTGCATTAGCTTTGGCAGTGTTGGGACAAAGTCTATTTTTCAAAGAAATTTGAAGCCATTTATTAAAAACTGAATTGTCAATTTGTAGACATCTTTAAGATTGTTTTGCCCTGACGATGACCTCAATATAGGTTGATAATCCAGCAGATGGCAATCGAATTTGTTTTTCATCCAACCATTTATTGATTTTGACTGTACAAAATTATTCTTGAGTAAAAAAGTGGTAGATACATCTAACACTTTAGATTAAAAGGTGCATATCTCATACACCACTGGAGGCTTTAGACTTCATCTTGAACTCAAAGCTGGTTTGGCAATGCTTTACGTTTCTCCAACTCCTGGAAGAACTCAATCAAGTTCTGTGGGTGTCAGGACAGATGGCTGACAAACTAGCAAAAACAAGAGCAGCCCTCATTTTAGACGTTTAATGAAGAATTCATTAGGTGCAAAAGAATCAAAGTTCCTCAACATTTCAACCAGGAAGACAAAACTTTACCTCTCTCTCAGCAGGCTAGAACTAAGTAAAATGAATAGTCCTTTATACTGGCCACTACCTATTTAGTGGGCTTTAAAAAATGAAAAAAGCCGCAACAAAAACCTGCCGAGGCTTGTCTTGAAACAGAAGAGAAATCAGACCATGTCCTATGTGACTGCAAGCAATATCATGGAAATGGTGAGGAAACTTTGAAATCTGAAGAATCTGAAGTGACATACTACAAATGGGCTTTTTTTTCCAAAAACACCGGCCCTGAGAGTTCGTATAACCTTGTAGTTGAAAAGTTGAAATACCTCGTTAAAAAAGTAAGTAAATAAATAAAATTAAAAAGACAGACTAAATTACCATAATCAATTTACCTTCTTTGTTAAATGCAACCTGCAGGCCAAATTGAATTATTTGTTTTAAGTGTTCCACTTCGTAATTATAATTTTGTATTTCCAGTGACAAACATATACATTTCATATGATCAGGCTAAAATAATTGACATAATTTAGCATAAAGGTTTAAAGGCATTATTTAAAACAGTTTTTATTACTTATTTTAAAATAACATATGTGGATAAATAAAAGTAACAAATTAATTGGTTGGAGAAGTTCAATAAAAACACCTAACTACGAGGTAACCAGAAAAATTCATGCAGTTCTTCATTTGTTAATGTTTTGGTACCGCTAATCAACATTTCCATTTGCATACGGGGATTAGGTGTTTACATAACGTAATACCAAGAGGATAATTGTCAGTTCATAAAGAAAAAGTGACTTCAACAGTTCAGTGTAAATTATAAAATATTTTCTTTCTCATGGCTTCAAAGCCCATAATTCGTGCATGCTTATTGTATAAATTTTAGCTCGGTACTAGTGCCGTCAAGGCAGCTTGTAAAATTTTCACTGCTTTCAGTGATGAAACAACAAGTGAGCGCACTGCCCAAAAGTGGTTCAATAAGTCTGCTTTCAGAAAGAAGGGGATTGAAGAGGAACAATGGTCTGGTAGACCTGTTTGTTGTTCAAGCCAAACATCTCAGTTACTCGTCAGAGTGTTCATCATAAATGATGAAACCATTCTACTTAAGCTGAGTAAATGAGTTCCTCATAAATTGACCGATAGTAACAAGCTTCATTACCTACATTTGTCTTTCATTTTTTTTTTTTTTCAAGTAGAGGCACTTTTTGACTGGATTGTCACATCATGTGATGAAAAATTGATACTGTCGTCACGCCAGAAGGTTGTCTATTATACCACTGTCTATCAGCAAATGATACCATCCCATTGACATGAAAACTAAATATTTATCAACATGCCTGTTGTTCATTACGAACTCTTGCCTTGTGGCCAGACCATCACTGCAGAAATCTACTCAAGGCAACTGCAATGAGTATCACTCGTAATTTTTCACCAGGACAATGTAAAGCCTCAGCCAGAACGACAAAGGAGGTGATAATGAAGATTCGTTGGCAAGTCCTACAATACCCTCTGTACTTTCCAGACCTGGCCCCATCCGAATTTCACCTTTTCTTAGCAATGGACATTCATCAGTGCAATCGGGAGTTCAACAATCACCAGCAGATGGAAAATGAGCTGAATTTATTTTTTAACTTCCAGGACCCAAACTTTTATAAGAAGGGTATAACTGGACTTGTAACTTGTTGGAAGAAGATTATAGATGCTGATGATGATTATTTCCCCCAATAAACACCTAGTTAAAATTACTCAAAGAGCGAAAATTTCCAGAGGGAGGTGCAGACGGCTCTGTGCTAAAAGCTTGGGACTAAACCCCTAAAATGTCCCTATGACTCTACACCTGTATCATAAAGCCAATGTTGCCATATGAGTGGTGTGGTGAACCAAGACCTAGCAGGCTAAGGCAATCAAGGGATAGGAGACACTCAAAGACAAGTTTGACATAACATCACAGCAGCCATGGGAATGGCATGAAGAACAATGCCTATTGCGGATGCTAATCCAAGGAAAAGCCATGGCAGCTCACCGACTCATAAATGTACAACTGTCTGCAAGTATAGGGCATGGACTCTGAGGGAGGAACTACAGGCAGATGCTCAAAAACAGATAGAGGCAACTTAGATATGTCACAGTTTTCCAGTCTGAAATCATAGCAATTGAACACTGCGCCAGAGAAATAAAAAACCAGAAACACGTTTCAGGAAAATAGCCTTTTCTCTGATAGTCATGTGAAACTTAAGATATCATCCTTATGCAAGTTAAAGACAAGAAGCATAAGGAATTATACGGAATCCCTAGCAGAAGTCAGTGACACCAATGACCTGACTTGGGCATGGGTCCCTTTCATTTGGCACATGGAAACAATGAAAAAGCAGACATGTTGGCCAAAAAAGGTGCCAATATGAATTCTCTAGACCCCTTTTTTGGCCGAGCTTAATGAGACCAAAACTTGGAGGAACAACCCAATCATGAGACGTGCAAAGAGATTCATAGAAAAGCCATCTGCCACACTTACAAAGGAATTACTGAAAGGAAACCACAACAGAACCAAGATTCTGGTTGGACTCTTGATAGGGCACTGCTGCTTAAAAAGGCATGTAGTGTATGAGAGACAATTAGTTTTAGTTTAATTTAAAGTTGTAGAAAAAGTGAATAGACTGGGAGGGAAGAAATGTGAGACAGACGGATCCCATTTCGCACGACGGACGTTGATTCAGTCTTGTTCTAACTCTGGAAAGAAGATGATCGCGGCCGTCTTGCTGATACTGGGTGAGTGTCTTGTGTTTTGTCCCTCTCAGGCTGAGTAGTTTTTGCAATACTATGTTCGTAGAATAGTTTTGGAGGAACTGTAACACCTGTAGATAGGAACCCAAACCCTTACTGCAAGTCATATGTAATTTTGGAACCTGCAGTTGATAGGAAGCCCCGTATGCCATTATTGTATAATCGAGAAGAAACAAAATTCATTTATGTAATTAATTTAAAGATAATAAAATGTTAGCATAGTAAATAATAGTTAATTGTTCTCCAAGGGCCAACCTAACAGTGGTGTCAGGTGTGGGGTATGCGCGTGCCTTAGAACGGAGTGGGGAAATCTTTGAAGGCCGCTGTAGACGCGACGGCGGCCCGCGCGGTTTTCGACTGTAGGGGCTAAACGGAGCGTTTTTCACGCGTTTTGACCGAATTTGGTGATCAGTCAACCCCCTAAGAGATTTATAAAAATTCTGAATTTATTTTTCATGACGTCTCGGGGGATAGAGACCTAGGTGAAATTAATCGTTGCCCCTTCGTACATTGGTGCATTGCGGGTTGCCTTAGTCGGACATTAAGGAGATAAATCTTGTGACTGTGCCCTACATATGAGGGAGTAGTGCGTGATAGCCGCGAGGAAAACACAAGGCGTTGGTCAAGAGGTAACTTCGCTATGGAGGGGCAATTAGCGGCGGCAAAGGTAGCTTATGAGAAGAAGATAGAAGAGATTCAGGAACTACGCGGAAGGCTGGCAGAGGCGGAGTCAAAACTCCCCGGAACCGGAGGGACGAGAGAAGCTGAACCCAAACAGAGACGCGATCTTAGCCTCCAGCAACTGGTGAAACCTTGGTCTGGGGAAGATGAAGGAGTTCCGGTCGACCAATTTCTCCACAGTTTAGATAGGGCAGCTAAGGCTGGACACTGGACTGAGGACGATATCCTTCTGGTGGCAGAGTCGAAGGTCACTGGTGCTGCGGCGACATTTCTACAATCATGTAGTGGATTGATCACCGTGGCACAGCTCAGGGCAGTGCTAGAAAGGCGTTTTGCGCGTCCCCTAGGTCCGAGTTTCTACCAGAGAGCGCTGTTTACTGCCACACAGTCTCAGGACGAAACAGTACAGCAGTATGCACACCGGTGTCGTTCCCTGAGCAATCGAGCTTTTGTAGAGAGTTCAGGAGGAGAGTCCGGTAGCTGGGGAAATGATAAGATCGAGCAGATAGTACTCTCGGCGTTCATTAATGGACTGAGAGGCGAGGTTGGATTCCAGCTTCAATGCACTCGCTTTGGATGAGGCCATAGCTAAAGCCTCACTGATAGAACAAGCAGATAAGGCAAGGAAGCCGGAAAGGGAAAGTCAGCTATTTGGGGTGGAGGCAGCGAAGAACAGCAAGGGTGTTTGTTACAACTGTGGGGGACGTGGACATTTTGCCAAGTTCTGCCCCACGGTGAATAATGTGGATAAGAAATTCTCTCCTTCGGCAGGTGCTCCGGGTGGTTATCGATGTCAAGACAATCGCGGTTGGCAAGGGAGGCGAACAGGGACCAATCAACGAACATTTGGACCGTGCTATGTTTGCGGAGAAATTGGACATCGAGCGTATCAATGCAACCAGCGGTTTGGTGGCCATAGAGGCCCCGCTAACACCCGTGTGCGTGAAGTATCTTCCACGTCCCCAAACGACGAGGTTCCGAGTGTCGCCCCCCACCCGGAACCCAGAATGCAATAGGGGGCCGGCACCATGAGATCACTAATGTGCAGGTCAGACAGGGGGGAGGGATAGTAGTCGAAGCAAAAATTGGAAGTACACCGATTCGGCTACTAGTGGACACAGGAGCCGAAGTGTCCATATTAACTCATCCAGTGAGAGGAGAACCCTTGCAGCCGACGAACGTCACTGCGACTGGGGTAACAGGAAAAGCGCTAGAGGTGAAAGGGGTGCAGCAACTTCAGATAGAAATTGAAGGGATAAGAGTGCACCATAGATTTTTAGTCGGTTCGATCGCCTTGAAATATGAGGGTATAATGGGTATGGACCTTTTGGAAAAATATGGGGTCAGGGTGAATATACCCGAGAAGAATATTGAGGTGCAAGGTCAGCGTGTTGGAGTCATCCAGGAGAAGACAAACAAGAACATAGGAACTGAAGTAGAGAAAACGGTGAAGAAAGGGGGTGGGGCGGTGCAGTACCACCCGACTTATGCTCAGGTGACCTGAGAAATTCGTGATAATGAGACCGCACGCCCTCGATTGGAACAAGAAGGTTTCTATATACTTGCTACCGCAAGACAAAATAACAACGATGCCTGGGTAAGCAAAGAAAGGAAAGTACCTCCCTGGTCCGAACAACTTATGGCAATACAAGTGAGAGGGGAGGATGGAGAAGTGGTGTTATTCGAACCAGAGCCGGAAGCACTGGAGCAGGGGATGAGGATGGCCAGGGTACTGGCGACAATCCATCGAGGAGAGATCTGGAGCAAGGTCCTGAACTGTAGCGATATGCCACAGCGAATTAAGGGGAAGACACCAGTGGGAAAGGTGTGGCCAATAGAATTAGAAAAAGACGATGTAAGTCGAAAAAGCGGGGGTGAAACGAGCAGACTCGCTCAGCAAGAGAAAGAGAGAGTGTTGAAGGATAAGGTCAAACATTTGCCAATTAAGGAACAGGAGGATCTTATAGTAGAACTAAGGAAATGGAGAGAAGTGTTCCAGGACTTAGAGGATGGAAGTAAAGGCTGTACGGCTGGTGTGAAACACAACATCAACACTGGGGATGCGAGCCCAGTATGCAAGAGACCCTATTGTGTTCCCTATCACTTACGGCAGGAAATGAATGTGCAAATAGAAGAACTCCTGAATAAGGGGGTAATAATTCCATCAGACTCCCCTTGGTCGGCACCTGTGATTTTGGTCAGGAAAAAATCCGAAGATGGGACGGTGAAGTATCGTTTTGTGAGGGATTTTCGTGGATTAAATGCCGTGACCAGGCCAGATGCATATCTGCTACCACTCATACAGGAAACACTTGAAGGGCTCGGAGGTACCAAGTATTTCACCACTCTTGATTTGCAGGCTGGGTACCACCAAATCCCAATAGACGACAAGGACAGGGAGAAAACGGGTTTTTCCACACCGGATGGCCACTACGAATACCGGCGCATAGCCTTTGGGTTGTCTGGAGCCCCGGCCACCTTCCAAAGATTAATGGATAGAATTTTGGTTGGGCTGAAGGGCGTTGAATGTTACGTTTACCTAGACGACGTCATAATCTTTGGAAAAAACATGCAGGAACACAATGAGCGGCTTGGCAGGGTATTAGAAAAACTCCAACAAGCCAATCTACGAGTAAATTTAAAGAAATGTCAATTTGCCCAAGACCAGGTCAGATACTTGGGTCACTTAGTCACTCGAGGAGGTGTGAAACCAGACCCGGATAAGGTCAAGGCCGTTAAGGAATATCCAGCTCCTACGGACAAAAAGGCAGTACAAGCATTCCTGGGCTTGGTAGGCTATTATAGACGATTCGTCCCAAGATTTTCGGATATAGCGAAGCCTCTCACCGACTTGACTAGAGTGGATGTGAGGTTTACCTGGCAGGGTGAACACCAGAAAGCGTTCGAAAAATTGCGAGACGCGCTTTGCCAGGAAAGTGTCCTGATTTTTCCAGACTTCGCAGAACCTTTCATTCTCGCCACCGACGCAAGCGGAATAGGTCTGGGGGCAGTGCTGTCTCAAGTGTACCATGGAGCTGAACGCCCGATAGCGTTTGCCAGCCGGAAGTTGTCACCTCCCGAGCAACGGTATAGTGCTACTGAAAGGGAGCTCCTAGCAGNATATGAAGTACACTTCACTAACGCTCTCCGTGGCCATTTCAATTGTCGTCGAGAATCCAAACCGATAACACGACATTTGAAAAATGGCAAAAAGGAGGGAAAACTCATAAGGTGGGGTTGAGATAGGAAGTTGATGTCCGAGTGGATCGAGGTCACGATAGCTCAAGTGGTAGAGCAGCGGCGTATCTCGCCGAAGGTCGTGGGTCCGAATCCCTCTCGTGCCATTAACTTTTTTTCATCTCAACTAAAAACCTTAATTAATTGTAATGATTTAATTGGTCAAGCGGACCACGAAATTAGTGAATTTAGAGTTTTTGTGAATGTCTACATAGGTGCAGATTCTTGCAACTAGGAGAGGAAAAGCCACAAACAACAACCTCCACTAAGGAGCCGCTGGCAAGGCTATGAGGTTGACTAACAATCTTATGCTGGCCAGGGAGTTATAAATTAAAAAAAAAAAAAAAAATAGAGGAACAAATAAACCTACTCAGGTCGAGGTGCAAAAGGCTTGTGTTACCTCATTTATCCCACCCCAAATAAAATATTTCTAAACTAATTGTAATTGTGATAATTATTAAACCCTTTAAACTGCACGAACCTTTCTGGTTACCCACATTCAATAAAACAACTGAGAGAAATGAGGTGCTAGAGATTTATTTCATTTTTGTTTGTGTTTAGTTTCTACCATAGGCAGTTGTTAAGAAATTTAAAAATAACACATTTTCGACTGTGCAATAATAGGATTTGTAAATCATGATTTTATAGAGTAAACACCAATATCAAAACTGGTTACCAAGGCATAATGACAATTTAAAACTTACCAGTAAAACTTCTTCATCTAATAAATTCAGTATTATCTGCCTGGCTGATACATTACTTGAATTATAGATCAAAACATTGAGAATTCTATTCTGCAGCGAGACCTCCTTGCACTGTAGAAACAAATCACGAAGAAATGCAAAATTGCAATTAGACCTGTTCCACTTGACACTTAAAAGACTTAAGCATATGTCGGTCAGTGGTTCGTTTTCCGGATCGAAATATTCAATTCCATCATGAGCCACTTCGACAAGGTACATGTATAAGGCTCTAAATAATGAATCGTAATTATCACATGCTGTGCTAATTGAATTGTTGCTTTCTTTTTCAATTAAGACTGTGAAGAGTGAAATGCAATACTCCTTTTTAATATCCTCAAGTAGATGGAGCCAGCACATTTCTAAAAAATATAAATCATACTGCATAATTTCTGGATTTAGTGTTATTTAAAGCTACATCTAGTCTCTATTTGTCATCTAAACATATATTATGTATTATTTAAGTGCTTTCCCATCAAGTCTTAATCAACAGCCAGATCAAGTGTAATTAAATGCGTACCTGGTATGGCCCCTCTTAAAAGTTTATAGTCATCATCCAGAGGATCGGCTTTTGAGCCATGATCGCATGTCAACAACATACGGTCGAAATTTTCAATGCCAAAATTACTAAGAGCCCTGATAACAAAAACAAAACAATTAATAACTATTAATAAATTATTTAAAAAAAGAAGAAATTTCAACTCGATGGGTGGTTAAACTAAATAGATTTTAAATAATGAAGCTACTGATCAAGGGCAAGGAATCAGGATTAGGATGAACACTGCTTGAGTGTTTCTTATGTTGACGAGAAGACCACCCATGAGACAAAAAACAGGCCAGAAAAATTTATTACAGAATACAAAAATTTATTCTCTTGAGAATGACTTACTTGACAGCATCCTTTGAAACAGCTTTATCCACAGCTATGAAATTCCATAGAATATTTACAGATTTCGATATAATTCCGAGGTCTTTCTTCCGCATATGTTTCTCACGTAAACGGATTGGTAAGACAGATAGAAATCTGAAAAAGCTAAATGCACAGCAAAGGTTACTACAATGGAACTTTCGTAAATAATTTTGTCATTTTTTTAAACAATCAAAGCTACAAAACAGTCAACAATGCCAAGAAAAACTTTTTTTTAAGAACAGTATTTATTATTATATATTATACTGCATAAAATTGTTGATATGTAAAAATTAAAAAGTAAATAAACAAATTAAAAAAAAAACAATCTGGGACTAGTAAAATAATTGGTTAGGGACGGTTAGGAGTGGTAAATAAAAATGGATAATAAAAAAATCAACTTATTAAAAAAAGAAAATAAACCATGTGGCACAATGGTCCAAAGAATCACCCATTGGTGACTCTTTTAGCAGTAATTACATCTCACTGCCCACTAGATTGTTAGGTCACTGCTATTTTAATCTCCGGGAAGGATTATTCAGGGTAATAAGTTTAAAACTAAGGGGTTTGGTTTGGGTATAATTAAAAGGATTTGTGGAATTTTGTGTACTGGGATTTTATGACACTTTTCAAAAAATGAATGACGATTATGCAATTGGATATGTAGAAGGGAGCATTTACCATTTTTCGGAGGATTTCGCATTGGGAAATCTGGATGTGATTACAGTTGGAAAATGTAGATGAACCAAATAGTTCAGGGTCAAAATCAGTTTTATTATCGTCTTGTATATCAGATCGTGGGTTGGTTTTTGTCAAATATTCGCCATTTTTCAGCCAAGATTGATAAAATGAGCCTGTGGCAGAATGTGAAAGAAAAGGATCTTCATTGAGGATAGCATAAAAGTAGGATGAATGTACATTGAATTCAGGATGGGACCAAGAATAATTCCTTGTGGGACTGCTTAACAAGATAGTAGTCAGAGACATGTTCCCTTGCTAATCTGAAAGAAGCAGTCAGAGGATGAGGAAGAGAAGGATGTTCTTGAGCTTAAACCGCAAACCCGGGAGCCAGACCTTATCAAAGACTTGAGCCACATCAAGAAAAGCACCCAAGCAGTTTCTGCTCAAGAGAATAAGAAGTCACGTCTACAACAGTCGCATTGCTAGATTGTAGAATGATGTTTATGGAATTCACTGTAATATGGGATGTTTTGTTCTTCTAGGATGGAAGGATTCTTTTCAGAAACAGCTTTTAGAGGATTTTTTCGTGAATAGGTAGGTTGTTAGATTTAAGGAACTTAATAATGAAAATTTCCATTGTAAGGCAACGTGAGTAGTCCCTATGACAGCATTATAAAGGTATCATATATAGGTAAAAAGATCAATGCTAGTTTTTAAGTTGAAGGATTTTAGAGATAAGGTCATATCCTTTTTGGGAAGGGAAAGAGATTGGACTAACTAGTTTCTTCTCTATGGTTTCTGGGTGATACTGTATTATGTCAGGCTTATTTTGGAAAGGTGTTGGCTGAAGAGTGAAGATTGTTCTTCGTTTGACTTGACCCATGATCTGTAGTCATTACAAAGTGGAATGGAAGTATGGGGTTTGGTTAGGTGACTGTCCAAAATGATCTTGTTCAGTTGTAAGGTTACTTGTCTATGTCGTGAATCTCACAGAAAAAAATATTATCCCCTTGTTTCCTTTTTCTCCCTAGAAACCCCAATTCCCCGATGTGGGCTGAAAAGAGGCACAAATAAAAATAAAGGAAAATTCTCTGGTCTATTTTTCAAAATTTTTAGTAGTAAATCAGAGAAACTGAAAACGAAGGATAAACTTACCTTCTAAGAATACAATCGCTGTCATTCATAGTAATTATTGCTACCATTTCGCTCCATATGGATTCAACATATAACAGTTTCTGTTCACATAGACAAGTGAGGCAGTCCATGATTGAACTAACAACATGCACGCCCTCCGTTAAACTGAGCCAATAGTTCAGGGCATCATTTAATTCAGGAAGGAATTCTTCTAAATATAACCTTGCACTGAAATGAAAAATTACAAACAAATTAACATACAAAAAAACCCATAAACTAAAATAAATATATATATAAACATGTAAAACTTACTTGAACTCTAATTGTTTTTGTAATGCTAAAACATGCCCGAGAACATATTCCATTGACTTCCCTTTACTGCTTTTCATTACATAAGAATCACAATTATTAAGATGAAGGCAAATATTTTGTATAATGCCTGCTTCCGAATTAAGCGGGCTATTATCAAATTTCTCGACCAAAGCTTTACAAAGGTCCTCTTCTTCCTGTACAATTTTCAGAAAATGGAGTAGAACCTGATTAAAATTAAATAAAACAAATTCATCTAATCACCTCAGACTTCTTTGTGGTACACAAACTCTTCAGAATTGTATATTTCATACGAGGATTCGGATCGACAAAAAATAAATAGTAAGTAAAGAAGGTGTTCTTTCTCTTTAATTTGGGTAATAAATTGATAGCTTCCTCTTTCACAGAATCTTCCCCATATAATAACAAAACATGATATATTCCATAAGCAATTTTTATATTCAATTGGCTGTAAAAACTATTGATTTGCAAAAATTTCTTCAACCATTTTGAAATATTTTGACGGTTTGAATAAAAGCTGTACAACAACCTGTAATCAAAAATGAAACAGTGAATTTACAAGAATACACGGCAACAAACAGCATAAAAATAAACACTAAAACATACTTGACAATGATAAATGCTCTGTTGAGTGTTGTGTAACGTTTAATTAAAAATCTTGTGCTCATGTTCAAAATTATGGGGTTCTTAATATGATCTTGTAGTTGAATTTTATTATCAATAGCGATATTAAGCTGGTGAACCATTTTTTTAATTTCAGGAAAATAGCAGTAATCACCACTATAAACGAGCAGTTCAACTTTTAGGAGCTGAAGAATTTCCTTAAAAATACAACCCTTGTTCACAAGTTCCAAGCCTGAAATTTATCAAGTTTATTGGGTTATGAAGTCTGTAAATACAGCTTTCTTTGTTGTTAAATATTTCAATTAAAAAAAAAAAACTTGCAGAGGTGAATATTTAAATTTTTTACACAACTTACAAGAAGTAACAGATGTGGGATGATCAATTTCAATAAAACTTCTTTAGGTGATGATAGGTCATAAATATTAGATGCTTGTCTGACGGTTCTAGCCAATGGTCTCCAGGAGCCAGGACATTTTTTTAAATTAATTAATTTACATAATTACCTATGGAACCTAACATACCATGTCTAATATTTTCACAACTGTCACAAAAAGTATTATTGAAATTAGGCCACCCGTAGTTAGATTTAAACAAACAATATTACATAAAATCAGGACATAAAAAAATTAACCTTTATAATTTCAATTAATCAACAAAGAATTGCAATTAACTGATTGTTTCAAGTTAATTTCATGTATAAAAAAGTTGTTTGACAAATCAAAACACAGTCTTTAATTAATCAGTGTTTTTGATTAAAAGTCAAACAACTTTTCATGACGAATTTAGATCTGCATCATGCGAGATGAGGGTTAAACAAATACAAAAAAAAATTATTGACAAAAAAAACTTACACAGTGCTAAGTATTCTGTTGCAAGATTTGCAGCACATTCAGTCAGATTAATAGCCAATACAGTGCAAATGATGGATTGTACAACATCACAAAGTCTAAATAAACTGAATTGCAATTTAGAACTTAATCCGACAGGATGGAGCCCCTCGTGGCAAAAATTACAGAACACTCTCACTTGAAATAGGGCTAAGAGTTCTTTATATTGATCGAATTGCGGGCATAAACTAAGTATATGATTCAACTTGGTAGTATCGTTTTCCTAGAAACATCATAAGATGTGCCCTATGCATAAATATATTTACTGACACATATATATACATAAAGTAATACAGACGAGACAATATACAAAATATATTTTATTAAATGATAAACTTACCTTAATCCATGGTATTAGATAATAAATCAAATCATTAGTCTTACTAAGAAGATTCCAGAACTCACTACTATGAACGTTGGTTACTGGTATCTGATCAAACAATAATTTTAAAAGAAGACTTCCGTACAAACTTTTTCTAAAAAATTAATAGTAAACTGTAAACAAGCAATTTTTTTAGATTTAAACATGAACACATACAATGTTTTGGGTTTTATAAGTTCGAAATGCTTCAGAAAAATCCGAGCAGTGTCAGGTGCCATGTATAAAATATCCTCTACTATTTCCTTGTATACGACAGGAAAAGAACTGCTACTTCCATACTTGGAGGTTTTTTTGTTTTCAATTATGTTGTTATAATTTTCAGTAATTATGCTCAATACAAGGTTGATAATCACTCCATTATGCCTAAAACATAAATATGACTGTACGTTAAATCATTAATGATTGATGAAAGGCAGAGCAAAAAATTATAGAATAGAGTTTAATTTAAGATCTGAATTAGAAAGCACGCATCTGTCAGATTTGATCGACTGGCTCACTTTAATTGTGTAAACTTTAAAAGTAGCTTAAGACAGTTACGGTTTATGATGAGAGAACATTGCAGAAAACATATGACAAAAACCTGATTGTCATTACTAGCCAATGTCAAACCAGAGGAGGAAGTATGAGATTGTGCCCTGTATTTTTGCTAAAGTGTTGAAGTCATTTTTTTAAAATCCTGGTCCACCGGACAACTTAAATTACTAATAACTCCTAGCTTATTTTTTGGCCAGTGTCCTCTGCTCCTGCCTAAATGAGCCTTAAAGTCTTCTCACTCATCCTCTGACAGACTATTGTTAAAACAATTTTAACATGTAAATACTGTAAATAGCTTATCTAATTTGTTCTTTAAAATAAACCCCTCTAACTTCAATCCTATCCAAGCTACTTCCAACATCCAAGAACATCTTGAGCAACAACAGAAGACTTGAACAACTACAACACTTCTATGACCAAAATACGTCTTGACCATCAACACTAAACTAACTCTTATACAAGACTTTACTGCGACCATTTTGGACATAGAGAGTGGAGCTGTGGGGTTCTGCCAATCAAAAGTCCTAAGACAAATTGTCAGACTTCCTTACTACATCACTAACCTCACTATCCACAACTACATCATTCCTTTCAACAAACTGATCCGTTCCTGATTCCACAAGTTTCACTTTCTTGATCCATCCTAACCCTACTGCTTGATCCCTCTCTAAACATTCCCATCTTGAGAACCCGCCATGTCACCTTAATCGACGATGGTCTCAAGACCTCCCTATTCCTTCACTCTGAGTCTGGCACTCCTTTCATTTGGCTTCTTTTTTTTTTAACAAACCGTTTTTTTTTTTTTTTTTAACCACCCTACATCTATAAAATAAGAAGCAACAATAAAAACAACACACAAAACTTATAATATACATTATTTTATTTTCTAATTTTTAGGGACTCAAAAATGATGGGCAATATGTTGCATAGAAAATGTGTTCACTAGTTATGCCTAGGTCACCTGCCTGATCTACTCTTGGCTGTGATTCTGACTTTTCACACTTCACAAAGATCAAATATATCTCCTCTTATTTGTCTGCATTACAGCCCTGGTAGACAATGGAGAAAATTAAATTACCCTTGTATGGGTGCCAGGGCACACAGGGCAGAGGGGCAACGAAGGGGCGATAAATTGGCCAAGGAAAGTTCAACTAGGACATTTATTGGCCCTGAACCCTTTTGTGGCTTACCAAACTGCCAATAATGCAGATCCATTAGACACTGGTTCAATAATAAGTTCTCCGCTCAATGGGAATGTAGCGTGGGACAGAGGCATGCAAAAAGTTTATCAAAGGACCACCGTAGAAACTAACGGCAGAACTACTAATTCTAGGACATGCTAGGACTATAATAATATTTGAACTGCTAACTGGACACTGCAGACTCTGAAGGCATATGTACAGATTCGATGTGGCAAAAACAGGCCTGTGCAGATATTGCCAAGAAGAAGAAGAAACAACAGAACATGATCTCTGTTGGTACGAAGGGCTATATAGGCTGAGATTCCTAATCATGGGAGAGAAAAAGCCAGGGGAAGGATACACATGGGAGCCCTTGAAAAAGCTTTGGGTCTTGTAAAAAGCCTCAAGCTTAACGAGGAGCTCTAGATTTAAAAAAACAAAAAAAAAACAAAAAAGGAACTGCACAATACATCAATACTGGTTGCGGTGCATAGGTCGCAAAGAGGCCATCTCCTATATAATCTAATCCTCGTATTTGTCGCTCTTCTTAAGATCCCTCTTTATAAAGTAGTGAAGGCTTGTCGACTCTCAAATCAAAAACACCACACGAATCATCCATGACCTTCCTGTCAGGGTCACATCACACAAAACACAAATATCCTTGTTTGTACCAAGGGTATTCGGCAGGTAGCTTCACTACCGATGGTTTAAATAATTGATTTTTTATTAATTTTAACCACCCATGATTTCTTCTTACTTGTCTCGATTTTGGCATAAGCCGTAACAAACAATTCTATAATAAATTCAGACAATAAATATAAATTTTAATAAGTCATTAAAACATACTTAGCTGTCCCAATCTTTTTAGAAATAAGATTTAAAAGTTCGACGTAATCCTGTGAATTTGGCTTCATCAATTTCAACAAACTGGACAAAAAACAGCATGCTCCAGTCGAAATTTTTTGGTTGTTGTGAGTTATAAGATTACGCAGTGAATTAATTTCAAGAACCTGAAATTTTTGAAAGCAGCAGTTATAATCAAGAACTTTGATCTATATTGATGATGAATGATCTTTACAATCTGCACAAAAAATGAACCAGAATTTGAACTTGTGCAAGATTATAGTTATTTTATGCTGACAAATGAAAAGAAACACTCATATAATTAAATAATTTATCAAAGAAGTAAAAACAGTAAACACAAATGTTAGTGAAATAAATCATAACCATCACTTATGGCTGAGTCATTAGAGTGTCCCATTTTTACAAATGCCACGTTAGCCATCCTGGGTTCAAATTTAGGGGCATTGCTCTTGGAATTTTATTTGGCAGAGTTTTTTCTTAAGTATCATAAAGTTGTTTGAACCCTAGCCTTATCAACTTTCAATATTTTCATTGTACAGGCAAAAATTTACATTTGTTTACTGTTTGTGTCACCATTATGTTTAAAAAATGATTAAGTGATAGGACATATCTTAAAAAAATAAAATGTTTATACCCACTTTTCTATAATCCTTGCCGCGTTTTATTTGGTCTGCAGCCCTTAAGTAGATTTGATTAAGATCCTATAACAAATTGCACAATATAAAAATAATAATAAGTCGAACGACTTCAATGAAATACTTATTGAATACAAGGTTTTTAGAAAAATGAGTAAAAAGAGTCGATAGATAAAATAGGCACTACAATTCTTCATATCATACATTTTTCAACAGATTGAAAAGTCAAGTTATACACAGGTTTCAAATTTGCTGGACGTAAGTTGTCTTGACTGGGTTTAGTGAAATAAATCCATAGAATTTGTAGAGAGAAGGCTAACATCCTTAATCTGAGTCATAGATTTTGCCTCTTGCATGTTGCTTTTAACATAAAAATAAAAGTATTGCCTCATATCAAACCCTGCGACCTAAATGAATGGCAGCCCTAATAATAAAAAACCTCTTGTCCAATAAATGTATAATTATCACAAGCAATTTGGGTTGCCTGTAATTTGCCAGTGAGGGTCTGTTCTCTCTCAACATATTTTGGAATCTAACAGAACTAATTAATTATTAATGCAGAGTTCAATGCCTCGTGAGGTGGAATTCCTTCATGAACTAAGTCAGATTTGGCTTGTTAGAGAAACGATGGGGTAGAAGATTTTATATGGAGACAATGGTCCATCAAATTAATGGAGATATATGACATAAGATTCAATTGTTAAAAGTGTGTTACATAACACAGTGCAAATGTCAGCTCTACTACTCTACTAGCACTAGATGTCAAAAGGTCCACAGGTAAAGCATGAAATCTGTATTATATTGAGCTGCAAAAAAGTAAGTGACCACAGTTGCTAGTTTAAAAAAATTATTAAAATATAGAAATATGTGGTATGGTAGGTGCAGCAATATGGTTCGAACAAACCTAGACTCATGATGCTTGCGGATAAGAGCTTGCATATGGCTCATTCTTGAATACTATGTCCACTAGCTAGTTTTAAGGTTAAAAATTCCAACTGATCATTAAAAGAATAGCTTCTGCAGGCAATGACCTAAACTTTCATATGGCTCAGCCTTGAATACTATGCCCACTAGCTAGTTTTAAGGTTAAAATTCCAAATGATCATTAAAAGAATAGCTTCTGCAGACGATGACCTAAACTTTCATATGGCCCAGTCTTGGATACTATGCACACTAGCTAGTTTTAAGGTTAAAAATTCCAACTGATCATTAAAAGAATAGCTTCTGCAGGCAATGACCTAAACTTTCATATGGCTCAGCCTTGAATACTATGCCCACTAGCTAGTTTTAAGGTTAAAATTCCAAATGATCATTAAAAGAATAGCTTCTGCAGACGATGACCTAAACTTTCATATGGCCCAGTCTTGGATACTATGCACACTAGCTAGTTTTAAGGTTAAAAATTCCAACTGATCATTAAAAGAATAGCTTCTGCAG